AAGTGGAGTACCGATTACAAACAAATGCAGGAAGCTTCTCTGCATGTCTCTTAAACTTATGGCTCATGGAGTTATCGTAGCTCAACAAAAACAAACAGTTTCATCAAAATTGGCTGGTGAACAGGAGAGGAAGCAGACGCTCTCTGTTTGTCTCGACGGTGACTCTAACAATAAGCAGCACTTATGGCAAAGGCGTCGTGTCAAGCACTTACTGCAAAAGGACATTTTAGGGATTTCACATTTTACAGAGACTTTTCTTCACTGCTTTGTTCTGTTGCAGCCACGAGTAGGTTGAAAAGGCCAACCACAAGCAGTGAAGAATGTAAAAAGGGGAATTAAAAAAAAAAGAAAAGGAAATGTCATGTGTCTACTTTGTCTCTAGGGGAAAATGTGCGGTTGTAAAGCCAAGAAGTAAAGGTGATCTCTTGTTTTTGGTGATTGTATAATAAAATCATATAAAACACTACTGGAACTACATTTCTTTGTAAAAAATAAAGTTGAATTGTGAATTGTTAAAGGTCACATCTCTTTAACAAATTATATAATACATATATCCAGATGCAATACTATGCTAGCTATAGCTACTACTTCATACTATATTACGTATCTTCTTACCAGAGAACTTAGAGCTTTCCATGGGGCTTGGGCCACACCAAGATCATCCAGGACACTGGAGAAGATGGAGCGCTCCTCAGCCCGGTCGATCTGTAAAGGGCTTGTCCCAAGAATCTTCACACCATTCATGTGCAAAGGTACAGCCAGATTGTTTGGAATCTGTCCTCCGACGGACACGATGCTGCCTGAGCAACCCTGGACGAGAGGAGAGGAGTTTGTTAAGTGACAAGCTGTGTTTGGTTTTACACACACACATATATGTATGTATTAAATATAATACATATATACGTAAATACTGTATATGTACATATATGTGTATATATGAACAAATATATTTTTTTTATATAAATATATTCTATCAAGTCACCTATGAAACCTTTGACCTACCCTGTTACTCTGCTCATGACATTTCAAATATTATTAATGCATTGACAAAATCTTGTTTTTCTCCATAAGTACGTGTAACTTGACTCAGCAACAAAAAGCGTGGAAAACTGAGGGGGTAGAATATTTTCCGAACACACCCTGTGTTTGAGTACTTTATTAACAGAATGCATTTCCTTAATCTTGTGTATCTTATCCAGCGGGATGTTGTTTCCATGGCAATGTCAGGTTGTATCTCTTCATTATTCATGGTCCTACATTTCTCTCTCTGTCCAAGCTTTGTCTTCATGCACTGATGCCGAAATTTATCAGAACCACGGATAAGATTAATGTAGCTCTGACAGTAGGACTGATGGTTGGATCCAATATTTTTTTATCTTAACAAAAGCACATTTAGATCATATTACCTTGGTACAGTTTTACGGTTTAAAATGTCTGTAAGCAGATATAAAGCACTTTCATTCAGTTTTAAGGTTTCTGTAAGCAGATATAAAGCACTTTCATTTGGGCAGTAAATTGTTGTGGGTGGGGGTCCTGGGGTTCCACTCACAAACGAAGGTGCCAGATACAGGTCTTCACAGGTTTTGTAACTTTTATCAGAGGGAAAAACGACCAAAGACCGACCCGCTGATACTTGAGGTCTGGTCGTTAAAAGAACAAACCCAAAAACTGTAAAATCATCACACCTATGATTGCACAGACCAGGATTCTTACATCTTCTGAGCCTACGGTGGGGACTAATGTATGTCCCCATTAGGACCAATTCAGTTTTCACACTTTCTGTATGACAAAGAAAAGTTAGTTCATTTGACTGCCCTTAATGGCCGACACTACCATGCAGGAATAAGCAGAAATGAGCTGCATTATTGCAGCTGGTTTTATATGTATGTATCGTGAATCAGACAGAGCCTTTCTGAATAATCTAGATCACATGACTGTATGTGTTTACTGTTTTTTACCACAGAGAAGCCAGTGCCTTGTTGTGGTGAACATACATTAAGGTAATGTTTCATTTCTAAACTTTTAATAAAATATTTATCTTCATAAAGTTACACCAATAACCCACAGTAAAGGTCATAAACCATCAAGTAAATGGTTTTTCTGTGTATATTGCTTCAGTGCCTTAACCCCCGACCTATCAGACAAACAAATTAAAAATCGACATTGACATCCTGTGACTGTGCGTCCAAACCTCTTGTTGGGTGATGTCCAGGATTCGTTCCAGGGTCAGCTCTTCAAAATAAAGACGGTCGCACTCATCAAAGTCCGTGCTGACCGTCTCAGGGTTGTGGTTCACCACCACTGTCTTCATGCCCATCTGTCTCAGGGCCCTGATGCTTGACACAGCACACCAGTCAAACTCAACACTGCTGCCTGATAAAGAAACCAACTGGTTATCTCGGGTCAATCGTCCTCTGTCAACTCATTTAAACAACATACGATTTATATTTAGGACTCGTTTTAAAACTCACCAATGTGGTAGGGCCCACAACCCAGAACCATAATGCTTTGGTCTTTGAAGTCCAGGTCGTGCTCCTAATGGAGACATTTTTTTTAATCCAGTCAGGATGTTCTCTTGAGGATGTTGATTATTTTCAAAAACAACACAGACAAAGATCTTTAGATCTTTTAGAACATACCTGACCATTGTAGGTGCAATAAAGGTAGTTGGTCTTTGCTGGGTACTCGGCCGCCAAGGTGTCAATCTGGGGTCAAAGTGGGATTGGAACAAGTAACAAGTGATTACGTCAGTACAGACTAGAGGTTGCATTAACAACTCAGTCAAATGCAAGTAGGGAAAAGCCAATCTGTGAAACATTTATCCTAACATTTAAGTGTAAAAAAAAGGCTTTTGCAGAAAAAGAAAAATGTCATCTAGTGGTTTTTCTCATCTACGCAGTGGGCAAAAAAAGGCTTTCGCAGAAAAAGAAAAATGTCATCTAGTGGGCTGCATGCATCACTCACAAGTTTGCCTGAATATATTGTTACAGTCTTGGTATTTTTTTTCCTACTAATATTCGTTTCAAGTAAGACGACTGTGTGCAGTGACTTTGTTCATTCTAATCGTCTTTGTAAAAAGCATTCCTGTAAATTCTCACCTGTTTTACCCACGGTTTGATACCATGTTTTAGCCTCAGTTCTCTGACCGCGCTCTCACTAGAACCCAGAATCTGACCAACCTGTCGGTCTGAGAAACCATCCTGCTTTACCTGGAGTAGCAAGTCTTCAGGTACCGTATACCTGCAAGACAAAACAAACCAATCATCATCATCATTACCTGTAGTTACCAACCTTAAACTGCTTCATTAATCCACTGTTCAAGCGGATCAATCAATCAATCATGTTATAAAGTTTCAGTAATACACCCTGATTCTTGACCCTGTCAGGAACATTTCACAAGTTTTACACCGCGCCAAAAGTACTCAGTGTTCTATGGAAAAAAAGAAAAACTGAAATATTTATAGTTTATCTTTTTTTCTGTAGTGCCAGTTTGTCTCTTCCATCGCTGATATAAAACGCACTGCTGTATTGTGATCACAATGGTTCCTAATCAGGACACCGGGAATTTCATTCTTAATCTTTTTTTCTCTATGGTATTTTCCAGTCCATTTAGTCTCTCTAGTCCAACAGTCATGCAAGTGGTTAATAAGGAACTTGACCACTGAGTGTGGACGGCAGTGAACAGCCCACCTCAGAGTGATCAATAGAACATCGACAAACAAGTTTCCAGAGCAACGGGTTGGGAAGTGCACCATTTAAAACTCTCTTTGAATCAATAAGACCTGAATGCAAGCTGTGAGCTGTAATAGAATAATGGTAGTAGAAATACAACGTCTTATTAAAACGTTGGTGTTTTTTTTTTTACTTTTACGATGACAAAACATCCAGTCATTGACAGTCGGTGCTTACATTTAAAGCTCCTTTAACATGATGGAGGAGCAAAGGACAAGAAAAGATGATGATGAAGAAGACTACGAGTCGACATTAATGTCTGACTCACAAACTTATCTTGTTTTTCTGCCTTATCAGATAAGTATCAAATTTAGGGAATATATTAACTTTAACTTAACTTTTTCCAATATGTTTTTTTCTCTTCACAGTAGATGACATTACCATTAACTTCCCCACTCTTCCCCAAAAATAATAATAAAAAAGAAACTAATTCCCATTAACTTCCCCACTTTTTCTAAAAGGTTCGCTTAATAAAAAAATAATAATAAAAAAGAAACTAATTTGAATCCCCACTTGAACCTTTATTAATCAGGGAAAAAATAAATTATCATCATTTTTTTAATGAATCTATTTGGGCATAATGATGATTGGAAATGACACTTGCAACATGCAACTTCTTAATAGCCTGGAAACTGAGGATGTTGTTAGTGAAGTTGTATGAGTTGGATTTTTGTCTCTACCTCTTGCTGTACTAAAGGTTTCAGCTGCTCAACAGTCTGGTCACTGTTGTCTGGTTCTACTATTTATGATGTGCCAGACCACCTCAGAAGAAGGATGATCAGTGGGTCAGTCAAGTACAGACACGATATGTTTCAAAAGCCACTTTTACAAAAAAAAAAAAAAAAGTGCAAGAAGTTTGTCAGATGAACTCTGTACTCTATAAACAAATGAAATTCTTTGGGGAACGAGGCGGAGTTCACTATGCATACAGAGTTTAACATTCTGGATTTTGCTGACAGATATTATTGTCTTCATAGGTCGCATCACCATAGTAGGATAAGACACAGTTGAGGTCAATGCATGTCTGCTAAGTCGCCAAATATATAAACATTTTTGCTCCGTAAAAAAGTTGTCTGTGACATAACTTTTATCACTGTTGTAGATAGAGTAACTATCGCAGTACATCGAAACAATGCAGTGAGATGAGTAACTCAAAAAAGAGGTGCCCTTATGGTCGTTACTCACAGGAAACCATGTGACTAATTGTGAATTTATATATATATATTTTAATTTTATTTTAAACTAATCTTTAAGAGTCTATTTTGAGTGAGTGTGAACCCTTGATTCCACACAGCTGCACAGAGGGACAAAATTGTTATTTACCTCCAGATTTGTCTCCATGTAAGAGACAAAAGCTCTGGGACAGACTTGTGTAATGCTGTACCTACAGCCCACAGGAGGAAATTCTATCGCTGATATAATGACAACCTCAGAAAATATTTATAATCTTCTCACAGTATCAGACATCTGAAATGTATTTTTTTACAACCATGCCGCAAGATTAGGGCTGACTAATAACAAACCAAGGAAAGGGAACATAAAAGAGAGGAGTTTAAGTCTTCGAAAGGGGAAAAAACAAAAAAACCTCAGGTCCCAGAGCAAGGCTATCCGCTTTACAATTATTCTGTCTGTCCTTTTCATTACTGTATGTACACAGACACCGTGTCACACAGAGAACTGAAACATCCTATGGCACATGCTGGGTACACATCGGCAGGTGTGTGGACAGTGAGAGACAAGAGACAAAGAGAGACAGAGTAAGAAGATGTGAGACACGGTTATAAAAACCAAAGCGCTCACAGCCTCACTGAACCACAAAATGACAACAACCTATTTCTGTGAATTCACACTTTTCGTTTTGTTAATTTTTCAGTCAATTAAATCAGAACATTAGAATTAGAAGACTTTTCAGCGTCACATAATTGCTGTCCTCTCCATTATGATTCATGTCATGCAGGGGGCTCATACAGCCAATTGCCCACGTCTTCACGAGCAGGTGCACTGTCACGTTTCATACTCCTGGGCTCTGCGGTGTGTAATCAATCAAAAACCTGACACACGTCTTGACATGAAGTGAAAAAGATTATACCTTTTTTTAAAACATGAAAAGACTGCAAAATAATACGAGGCGTCCCCAATACAGTATTAAAATCATCACAAAGATGAATTCTTGGCCGCATTCCAGCCTTCTATTAAGAAGATGTCATACATGATTTATCCACAAGGAGACAGCTCCGTGTTCCTCATTTCTCTTCCTGGCGTGAAAATGCGTCTCTACGTGTGTCTGCGGTCAGCAGCTGTGATCACACTGCCTTCAGTCAGCACGAGTTTAAAGATGTGTCTGTTGTCAGTGTGCGCCCGGGTGACAGGAAGACAAAGAGCTGAGGTTGTTATAGCTCGGCAAATCAATCTGAGAGGGCGCAGGTCTACAATAAAATATGATTTTATACATGGGAAATGTGAAATGTGTGGCAGCGTTAAAGCTGTGGTGACGAAAGGGAAATGCTGAGAAGGATAAAAATATTTTCTGTTTTGCCAGGAGGGTCAGAGGACCATATCTGAGCAGCAGCTTTTACTAAAGCCAAGTTTAATTTATATTTTTTCACAACGCTGCTGAAAAGACTAGGAACAAGTGAACAAAGGCAGAGTATAACGGCAACGTATGTAACCTGGAATACGAACTGAGCTAACAGCTAACAGCTTTCTAGCTAATAGCTGTCCTAAAGGGCAGGAACGTTTGGGTATTAATAGAAAAACATAAATAAATGAATGTTGGGTAATCAAGTTTTAAAATAAGAATATGTTAGTATGAAAGCACAATAACAAAAAAAAAGTTTTAATGAAACTCTGCCCTTCACTGTGACCTGACTTCTTCTCATTAAAGATTTGGCAGTGCATAAATAAAATAAAAATAAATAAATAAGGCAATTTAATTTTATCTAACTTAAAATGAAAAATATATATAAATAAAAGAACTGTTTTCACCAAAACCAAAAGCCAACACTTTAAAGAAAGTGAGAAAACAATCGTAATTGTTGTATCCAACTAAAGTTTTTGCCTAAGTTGTCGCTGTCTAATCAAAGAGACTATTTTTAATTCCATAAGTAGTTGTTTATATCAGAATGGGCTGATTTCTGATCTTCACACAATGATGTCATTGTAGGAGGAAATACAACAGTATTTACTGACCACTACCCACAACACAAACCAAAAGACCAGCACTCAACCACACACACAAACCACCTGTGTGCTCTTCAGCTGCAGAGTCTGTAAGTTCACCCACACCTGCACTCCACGCACCATCACTCTGGCAGCAGACTGTTGAAGTCCCCATCCCAATGTCCCTTCCTGCTCCAGAGAAGGTGGAGACTACAACCACTCTCTCTGCATCAGTGTGTAGCGCTGGGCGCCCACCAGACGGCCAGCCATTAATTATTTAACAGCACAGTCAGGAGGAAGCAGCAGGTTACCTGTGGCTGAGCCATGAAAATTCACAGCGGCTTTGATTTGAGCTGTCCAAGTAAGAGCCAGAGGGCAGAGAGACAGAGAGGACGGCAGCTGAGAGGAGGTGAACCACGACCGAGGAGAAAACACAGACGTGAAGGGACTAGGGTTCATCTCATTATTCTTTGAAGGAGTTCCATTTTCTGACTCCCAAGTTTTCTTTTAACATTTCTATGCAACAAAAGCAAATAGATAAATGTGCTACAAATACCCACAATGAAGGCAATTACAGGAACATGCTGCTGGAAGCACAGACTAAAAAGGAAGTGACATAAAAGAGCGATGCACCCAACTCGGACACAATGGCCGACTGTGAGTGACTTTTATAGAAAAATCACATACTTTTCGGTAACAAAGCGGTTCATTTGGTTGCATCCTGTGTTTTGAAGGACATTTTTGTATAATGAATAATTTAAGCTTATCTGTTGTTGACAATCTGTTTTTAATCAACATATATTTACTTTTCTAAGACACAATAAGGAATAAGCAACCACCAAAAGTCCATTTAAGCCATTAAAACCTATGAAAATAAACTGGTTAAAAACAAATCTAGAGGAGACGAGATTACTTTCTGTCATAATCATTCAACAAAACCACTTTTTTTCCCACAACCTTTCCATCTTTTAAGGTGTTACCTCTTATAATTGGCCAAGTGCTGCTCCAATTGGACGATTCTGTTCAGTTTGTGAAGAAACCACTTGTCGATGGCCGTCAGCTGATGGATTTGATCCACACTCACACCACTGTGGAGTGCCTGCAGGACAGAAGGCAGAGAGGCCAAATGGCCATCACACGTCATCAAACAATAAAATAAATCTTTGTTTTAATTATAACATTTATTAAAGCCTCTGTAATGGTTAAAAAAAGGTTTTAAAGCTGATGGGAAAAAAGGTTTCTGTAGATTTTTGATGCACATATTATGCAGTCGGGTGTGTAGAAATGAGAATAAACGCTTTATATAAAACGCTTTATATACAAAATATAAAGTTTTACATATATATAAATGACTTAATGTATAAATGAAGCACTATTAAAAGTTTGAATGAATATGTAATAATCCTAAAACCAATTTAAGATGAAAAATTAAAATTAAAATGACTCTCTTGTTGGTTGTGTTATTCTGTTGGTCAATGTTTCATCAATAACATTATTTACTGTGAAAGATTCTAAAAACAATTGATCTTCAGGTCTACATGGTCTACAGCTCTGCCAGGACAATGTTGTACTTCAAAAGTTTGTACCTGTTAGCTCTTCCTGGATCACTTTCCCTATAATAATTATCCTCCAGTTTAATCTGGTGTCAACTATTATTATGCCGCTCACATCCAGGAAGCTTTTCTTCATTATCTCATAAGTCAACTCTCTCTTCTTGTTCTTGTGCAAACAGCACAGTAGGCAAACACTTTCTTCCATATTAAACAGGCTGAATGATGAGTTTGAATTACAGGCTGGCAATATCGGAAAGAAGAAAAGTCTAATTTTCAAAACTTTATTGTTTTAATAATTAGGGGAAAAACCAGAGGCGGGTAGTTGTGAATCACACCGGAGGTTTTTTATTTTAACTCTCGCTGGTGTTTACTTGTAATAAAACATCATATATGGATCAGTACCAGGCTCTAAAACCATTTCCATCGCCGATGACCTCAGGTTTTTCTATAGGTAAAATAATTTCTCTTCACTGTCAGAACACGGAGCTCACATAGCTGGAGGTTTATGACACTGACATGACCTCATTCCTCTCTCCACTTCTCTTCCATCTGCTGGCAATAAAAGCTTGTTGAACTGCTCGACCCACTACACTACCTTGTAATGATTCATACACATCTCTGTGTTTGAATGATGCAAGCTGAGAACATTCAAACGCAGAGATGTGTCCTGAGCTAATGTGAAGAGTCTTGTGCACTTTTTTTTGCTTCTTTCAGACTGAAGGCTCTTTACAGCACTCTTTACAGAGTCGGCATTACAGGGACAGCAACTAAACAAACAACACCTGCACTCAGTTGAAAGATCCATTTTCCAACCTTTGCTTCATTTTGTATTTTGATGAGAAAGTGTTCTTTATTAATGCTAAGAACCATGCTGTAAGTTTACCTTGGCGATGGAGAATATTCGGGTGCTGGAGGGCACAGCCAACTCCTGTTGCAGACTCTGTGTGTTGGTCCAGGCTTTCTTGAGTGGCAGCCGGGGCACGAAGCCATCCACAGACGGGTGACACATCCTGAGGGCTTTTTGCACACTCTCCTCAAAGGTTCGACCCACTGCCATCACCTGAATCCATAAGAGGGAAAGATGAATAAATTAAATGAAGAAAAAAAAGGTGAGGTGGTTAGTGATTATCTATGGAAACTCCTCACCTCTCCGACGCCCTTCATGGCGCTGCCTATTTCAGAGGATATGCCCTGAAAGCGGTCCAAGTCCCAGCGGGGGATCTTGGTCACAATGTAGTCCAGACTGGGCTCAAAGCAGGCCGTGGTCTTCTCTGACACAGCGTTTTTGATCTCGGGTAGGGGAATTCCCAGAGCTAGCTTGGCAGCTACAAAGGCTAATGGATATCTGTGGGGGAAGCAGCAACAGAACCTTTTTATTATCGTCGACATTTTTTCATCTAGGGTGTAGTTATAGTTGTAACCAGATTATTAATGCTGTTTTTTTTTGACTCAGTACTGCAGTAATGCTGCATGACTGATTGTTTGGAAGCACAGAGTACTTCCTACTACTAGACTAACCTCATTCTTCTACACATGTACTGTATTACTCCTATGTTCACTTAAAACAGAGGAAACTCAGAATAAATGTGCAACCAAAGGTCCTTGATCCAATTTATTTACCAAGAGAATAAACATCTTTCTTATCAGCAAAATGAATTCATAGAATGAGCTGGGGTTTTTTTCTCTCAGACTTTTCTTGTTTGTCTTGTACCTGTGCGAACGTGTTTTCTTACCCTGTGGCTTTGGATGCGAGAGCTGAGCTTCTGGAGAGTCGAGCATTTACTTCGATTATACAGTACTCCAAGGAAGCTGGGTGGAGCGCGTACTGGATGTTGCATTCACCTATGATGCCGAGGTGTCGGACCACTTTGATGGCCGTCTCTCGGAGCATGTGATATTCCTCATTGGACAGCGTCTGACTCGGTGCCACTACTATTGAGTCACCTACATTGAAAAAGACAAAAGACGAAATCAGACATTTAAAATAAAGACAGAACATTAAAAAAAATAAATAAATAACATAGATGTGACATCAACTGTTATTGTGCCATAGGCAGGACAATTGGACCAATTTTAATTTTAGTTAGAATTACAGAGTTTTGAATCAATTGCCGGGAATTTGTTAACATGGAGCACAGGGTAAATAAGAGTCCAATCTGCAAAAAACGTGCTGAAAATATGTTTGAACCGGCACAAGGTAAAAACGTGCTGAAAATATGTTTGAACCACCCAGGTAAAGTTTTACCAATATCTATAAACGTATGCAGACCCTACTGACTTCATTGACGAAATGTAAACAGAAGCCGTAAAAAGAAAATTAGTTTGTTTTCTCATGGTTAAGGTTCAGACTCTAAGCTTTAATACTGCTTCAAATGGTTCTTTAATGTCAACCATTTTAAACGCACTGACTTTGTGGCAGAACTTTTCTACAAAGTTGACAAAGGGAACGGTATTTCATTTTGGGTAATGAGGTGAGAACAGCCAGCAGTGATTGTGTACGTGAGTGCTTTGTGGTGGGTCAGGGAGTCGTAAAGTGGGTGTGGTGGAATCAGACGAACAGAAGTCCTTAGATAACCTCTGGGTAGATTCCCTCTGTCTGATAACTTAAAAAAAACAAATGCTCAACGCCTCTGTGCATAACTTTTACAAGTCAACCTGATGTTATAAACACAAACTTTCCAATAAAAACTGGAAAAGTTCAGGTTGAAAAAACACAGGAGAACAGCAATAGCCATTATATCATTAATTAGAAAAAAAATAACAGCAGAACAGAGCAAACACCGACAGGGGGAACAGTGTTTATTGCCTTTTTTTAGCAGGTTCATCCAAGTGAAGAAGTCCTGAGTAAACACAGTAATTTCAGTAGAAAAGACAAATTGAATACACTTAACACAGAACAATAAAAGCTGTGAATGTCAACGGTACTGTAAATATTAGATGTGCCAGTGAAACAGGTTTTCCTGTGCTTTCTTGGCTCAGTTTGTTTTGTTTCATGAAAAAGCTCACAGGCATGAATGATACAAGAGAACCACAGAAAGATAAGCGTGCAAAAGAGCAGCATAACCTTTGAAGAGCACAGTATGATGTACTGAATCACACAGCACGCGTTTGATTGGTACCTGTATGAATGCCCAGTGGGTCGAAGTTCTCCATATTGCAAACTGTGACGCAGTTGTCAGCGACGTCCCTGACAACCTCATATTCAACCTCCTTCCAGCCCAGCAACGACTTCTCCACCAAGATCTGACTGCTCAAGGCCAGAGCCTACAAATGCACAGAATAAAGTTCATTACAGTTTGAATATCCATATTAGATCAAACCAACTGTAAACACAGCATTTAGAGCAATTAGGAGGTTTAATGTAACAAGAAATGTGTTTAAATCTGCATAAAAACCTACTTCAAAATGCAGTATTTACAACTTGACAGCACAATTAGATCATGTTGAAATTAAACTGGGTGTTGTCATATTATTTTACTTTAAAAGAACAATACTTTTAGACCTTAAAATGGTAGAATGCTGCAGATTTGATCTTCTTTTTTTATATTTGGATCCATGCTGAGGGTTGTAGTTGAAAAAACGAAATTCATGCTCGCCTTGAGTTTTTACTTTGTATTTCTTTCACAGATAAGTCCAGGACCTTGTAATCTACTCCTGTGCTCTGCAACTTTATACAAACCAACCACACAGGCACAGGGCACAGCTGGAAAAGTGGAAATTGCCATGAACATTTCCAAATGATACAAAAGCCTGATGAGAAAAGCAGTCAGACTTACTGCCTGGCATCAAAAGAGAGCGTGCCAATCTAAGAGCACAGACGGTTCATTTTGCTGCTTTGTGATCATAGATTAGAAACAAATGAGCTACCACACACGACGCAGGATCCGAGGACAAAATAGAGTTGCCTAGCAACCATGTACCATCCTTTCTTAAGAGTGGACAAAAGACACACATCAAACCAATTCTGAGTCTTTGTGCACGTTAACAATGTCAGCGAGTGAAGAGAAGAACACAGAAGATCCCTAATTTTCAGAGTTCATGGAGATGATGGACTGAATGTCCGGAGAAAGAACTACAGAAAAATGCACAAGGAGAAGGACGCCACTTTTGTTTTGCAGATTTTCTTCTGACCTTGTGAGCGGTTTCCTCCAGTTTTTCTTTGTTGTCACAAAGACCCGAGCCGAGGCCTCCCAGGGCATAGGCTGATCGTAGCATCACGGGGTAGCCAATTTTCTCTGCTGCTTTTAAAGCGTCACACACCTGGAAGATGATGACAAAAAGTATGAGATTGAGATCAAAAAACAAGTGGAGGCTTTTTACAAGGGCTATCAAACCATTAAAATCTTAGCTTATTATAGCTTTGGATCTATCATGATTAATTGTGATAAATCCTGATTAAAATGGATTATATAATATCCCAATTAACTTTTTCCACTGTGCATCAGAGCAATGATAAGTGGATGTTTGGTGGCATAATTGGATTTATACTTTTCATCTTTTTGCCAATGCATTTCAATACATGAGTAAATATTCTGATTCATTACATAAATTTATTACCACGATGAATATGTTCATTTTGTTCTAGAACTCTAGTTTAGAAGCCAACATCCATTAAGTCAGTGATCTTACAGAGTCAACAGCAAAACTGGGGGCGATCTTCTCATTAATTTCCATCAGTTTGTCAGCAAAAAGCTGCCTGTCCTCGGTGGCCATGATGGACTCCACTGGTGTTCCAAGCACTTTTACTCCATACTTGTCCAGGACGCCATGTTGAAACAGTTCAACTCCTAACCATCCAAACAAAAAAAAAGAAAAACCTTCAATCTGAATATCCAATACCAGCTAACCGTGACCCTCTGCACCCGTCCATGTACCAGCCTTTGCTGAAAATATAAAGCACAAAAATTTATTTTTTCATTTAACCATGAAAAAAAAAATCACATCTTACCACAGTTGAGTGCAGTCTGTCCCCCCATAGAGAGCAGGATGCCATCTGGACGCTCGGCCTTGATCACCTCAGTTACAAACTGAGGTGTGACAGGCAGGAAGTAGACAGAGTCGGCCTGTTTGGTGCCCACCTCATTAGTCTGAACTGATGCTATGTTGGGGTTCATGAGCACCGTCTTCAGATTCTCCTCCTACAAATGTCAGCACACACAGATATCACCAACGATTCAACTGACAATGTTACTTTTGGGAAGAAATCTATCATTTAAACATCTTTTTTTTTATCTGCATTTCTTACCTTCATAGCCTTAACGGCCTGAGAGCCTGAGTAGTCAAACTCTCCAGCCTGACCAATGGAAAGTCCACCGGAGCCCAGGACCAACACCTTTGACACCTAGGTTTATTAAAAAAAAAGAGACATGATTTTGTCTTTTTCACTTATAGCTGATGTTGTGTCCACTTACAATGAGCTGCAGATAATTCCAAGACAAAAATGTTTCTCCAATAATTAGCCTGTGGTTAATAATAAAAAAAAAAAACGAAATCAAAAGTATAATATATCTATAATGGATGATTTGAACCGTAGTTACAGTAACCTGTGTAGGCCCCATTACTCCTGGTAAATGTTATGAACCTGTGATCTTTAATCCTTATCCTTTGTTAACAAAGAAGAGTGTTCAAATGTGGGGGTGTGGCTCAGGTTGACGGCCTCACTTAAACAACAGACTACACAACCTGCAATTTCTTTAAAAAAAAAAAAAAATCTCAATCTTGCAAAAAAACATCCTCAAAGAAAACATAACAGACAACTACACCATACCTGAGCTCTTGGGGGTAAGGAGGGCTTCTTGGGCATGACTGACGCCAGGTTGGTATCCTTTCCTTTCTTGATCAATGACATGAAGGTGTCAAAGAGAAACTGTTGGGTCAAATACAAACATTAGCTTTGATATTGTATTGGAAGTGATACTACAAATTATTTCAGATTTCATGCATGTGCTTAAATTAAACATTTATAATTTATTAGATTCATTTTTCGTATGTAATCTTTTTAGTTTGTGTTTTCACACCTAATGGTTGGAGACAGCCTCAGCTATCCAGGCAGAGAACAACCTGTATGTGTGTTATTTGGTTTTCCACAGCAGCTGGTGAGTGACAACAACACAAATTCCCTGAGAGTGGACACATTTCCAGAGATGTACATGTACCGAACAACAGCTAAACTCAGCCTGAGCTGCAGCGAAATGAGACAGGAATGTAACATGTAACTAATGTGTGCAATGTGTTTACATGGTAATTAACTTGATACCTTTAGTGACAGACCAGTAAATCTCAACATCTGTCATGTTACTGACAGCGTAAAAAAAAAAAAAAGACAACTCAATGTCTGATAAAATTGTGCTGAAGAAAAGCACTGCACGATCCTGACGGTATTTGTTGTGACGTCTCCCAGAGTCAAACCAAGGTAGAAGTAAAGATTTCTTTTAAAGAGCTGTCAATGGATTGTTCTGCCTTGAAGGACAGGACTTGAGATTTCACCTCAACTTGACAGAGGTTACAATACACTTTGACCAAAATCTGAACCTCAGCCCTGACACCTGCAAATCAACCAGTTAGTCACTTAGAAAAAAAGGAGACTGGACGGATGGATGGAAGGGGGCGGAGGGAGGAGTGATGGATAGTTGGATGGTTGGATGAATGGATAGATGGGTGGATGACCCTTTATCACTGCACCTCCACTTCTCACTCATTCTCATTAGATACATGGTGTGATAGAAGAAATGAATGAACAATGTCCTCTCCATCAGTGGATCATGCAGCACAAACCTGTACACAGTAATTTTGTCACCGTTTTTACACATGATGCCCCCGCCCCCCCTTCTTTTAAAAAAAAGCTGTTGACAGCTGGTAATGTATCACACCCTAGTTTTATGTATCAATTTGTGCTTGTCTTTTGCAAAGCGGGACAAGTCAATAAATCTGCTAAGCCATTAAATGTTGGTGGTGCAGTTTAGGTTACATGCAGTATAAGAAACCATGAACCGGGTTTGTTGTGGTTAGCGTAGCAACACAACATACTAACTGACTTTATGACGATGACTTCCTATTTTTAGATGTCTTATGACTCAGTTTTTATGGTGTGCCTCTAAAAACCTCTAACTAGTTCTTTTGTTAACTTTATCTAACAACTTTTCAAAGTTTGGACACCCGCCCCCATGTTTATACATGAACACAGAGAAGAAGAGCTGCATTAAAGGTTAAAGAGTGAAGTGGGCCTGAACACTTTTTACAGATTTTACTTCTGCAGCATCTTATATGCGCATCTATACTCAAGTATACCATCCAGATACTTAATGCACTTCTATCAAAGTTTTAATTACCTCTGTGTCTGTGGGACCGCCTTTAGCCTCAGGGTGGAACTGAGCTGTGAAAACAGGTTTAGTGGAGTGCATAATGCCCTGGAAAATATACAAAAATATACAAAATGTAAACATACATATTGCCAAAAATGTATGACTTTTCTGAATTGTTCAATTTAATAACGCCTTACACACAGTGGCGTTTATCTTACATGTTATCTTTCTTGACATAATAATGCACCTTTGCCTTTGCCCTCGTCAATCTTATAGATTAAAAATAATTGTCCGTAAAATGTCTAAATATTCACACCTCATTGGTGCCATCATTGGCGTTAACAAACAGGGGGCTCCACCCAGGGGGCAGGGACTTGCTGTCGATGCCGTAGCCGTGGTTCTGTGCCGTAATGAATGCCTGGCCTGTCATTATATTCACAACTGGCTGGTTCTGGCCTCTGTTGAACACAACACATCCACAGGAACATCATGTTCATCAAACGGTTGAAAAGTGTAGCATCACAGAGGCTTAAATTGGCTGTGATACGAGCTGCAAAGGTTCACCTGTTCCCCATTGGTAGTTTATACGATTTTGCTCCTGCAGCCAAAGCAGTGATCTGGTTTCCCATACAGATCCCAAAAACCGGCTGGGGACGATCACTTTGCAGAACCTTTGAATGACAATGCACATGATGTTGTTCATGACAGAGAGCAGCTTTAAATTAACATTAACAAAAATGTCTTTGGCCACAGTTAAAGTAAAGTTCAAATTCTATAAAGTTCCAAAATATGACTACTGTTACACATTCTCTCACACCTTCTGAACATTGTCAATGAGGCTCCTGGCCAGCGATGGGTCTCCGGGTCCATTGGAGATGAAGAGGCCATCATAATCTAGACTCAGCAAGTCTTGGTCCCATGGAACAAGGTGAACCTCTGCACCTCTCTGTACACAAGAACACGAAAATTGTGAAGAGAGATAATTACAGTGCTACACAATAAATTCAGAAGGAGAGTTTTTCTTACCTTCACCAAGAGGCGAATGATGTTGTGTTTAATGCCACAGTCAACTGCTACTACTTTGATTGGGTTTCCTCTGCCAAACACTTTGGTTTCCTGAGAGGTCAAAGGCCACATAACAGGAAATTACACACATCAATATAGTAGGTAGCAAATATTTGCGAGACTCAATCAGTTGTTACCGTAGTGGACACCTCTGCGACCAGGTTTTTTTTATTGGGGTCACATATGTCAACAGGTTGTCCATCAAATTCAATCTTCCCCAAAACTGTGCCCTGAAACCAAAGGCAAATGGACATCAGTGGGGGCCGAGGCGGTCCGTTTACAAAGGATGCAGCAGGTCAGAACTTTGTATTTTCACTACCTTGTCTCTGATGACCTTGGTCAACATTCTGGTGTCTATGCCGAACAAAGCAGGAACCTTTGCAGAAGGACAGCAAAATATGGGAAGTAAAATGTCATTTGCTGATCTAAGGTTACAGAGAGTATTTTTAAATATGAATCCTAACCTTCTCTTCTTGGAGCCACTGACCCAGAGACTTGACAGAGTTCCAGTGGCTGTATTCATGGCTGTACGCTTGAACTAAAAGGCCAGACACCTAGAAACACCAAAATACAATACCTGGTCAAGAATTCAATTTTCTTTTAATCTGTGGAAATCCTACTCATATGATTACTGGCAACAAACCACTGACCTAAACTCGATCATTGACTGAAAATAACGCTGATTAAAAAAAAACGGAAAATTAGCGTGTCTTTAGATGACTGAGCTCATTCACTGCCAACTGTGGTTACACTGGGGATTTTTTTTTTAGCTGGTGTACAATAAAAGAAGAACAAATAGAAAAAAAACTACAAAAAACTGAATGCATTCCTCCTCTGAAATCTGGATCAAAACGTGACCAAGAGGTCGTTCAACAGCTGCGTGTCTACTACTAAATACATTTATTATGATTTATGGTTTGCTCAATATAACCTTTTATTTTATTGAGACACAACCTATAAACATTTGGGGGGGGTTTTATGAAAGACAAAAACATAGCAATCATTTGGATTCAATTTCTGTTTCAGGGATAATAAACCAAAAATACAACAGCTGCGAAACACTCTCAGGTTTCCCACCTGGATTCGCTCTGACTCCACATGCTTCCTCAGGCCCAGCTCATCTAACTCCTGGGTGTTGGGCACTCCATAATTGCCCACTATCGGGTAGGTCAGAGTCAGTATCTGACCTCTGTAACTGGGGTCAGTCAGGGCCTCTGGATACCTACATAAAAACAGCAGAGCAGCAGTAAAAATACAAACAGATTTTTTGATGATGACGTGGAGGATGCAGTTGTGATGCTGAGGTGGCAAAGACGGTGTAAAAAATGATTAACAACACCTAATTATCTATTGTTAAATGAGGCTGACAACAAAGCTTTTGTCTATAGAGAATATCAATAAATTGCAGTATGTCTTTGCACTATATTTACTTTTTCTATAAACAGACCTGCAGTTGTTATCAAATTTTGAGGGTTTTTTAAATTTTTTTTTTTACTTTTTCTATAAACAGACCTGCAATTTTTTTTTTTTTTTATGTCAGTACAGTAAGTCTCATCCTCACCCCACCAGGCCGGTGTTGAAGACCAGCTCCCCTGCAATGGAGCCATTGTGCCCAAAAGAAAATCCTTTTATTCTGGTTCCATCCTCCAAGACCAGGTGAGCAGTCTGGGCCTGGAGGTAAAACGTGCATACATACAGGTAAGTATTTCACCAACCCTCAAGTGACAATAATCAATTTAAAATACATTAGTTAAAAAATAACAAACAAGTTTGTGAAATTTAAGTTTTACTGAGCTGCTGAAACTCAGAGCCCAGAGTCAAATGCATTAAAAATGCTTAGTGGACGTGAATATGGATGTGGAGGCTGGCGTGACCTCCTATGACCCCGACATTAGCACTTAACTGTTGTCCTGGAGTTCCAAAATACATCACAAAAAGATTCATGATCAAGGACTAAAAAATATAAATCAGAAGCAAAATAGTATATAAACTATCATAACAAATCATGACGCTAAGTAAACTGCAAGAGCGTGAGTGGCTGATAGCCAATGACAAGGCTCCCTCCAGGTGCAATAATTCTTCTAATCAGGTGACGTACACTCGTAAAAACGATGGTTACATTAGTCAACATATAATTCCTGCCAATAAAAATAAGAATAAATTTTGCTCAGTGCAATCAATACATCTTAGCTATCAAGGGTTTTAAGAAGCTCATGACCGCCACACCTCCCTCCAGTGAAAAAAACGTGCTACTAAATTGTAGAGTGAAAATTAGAAAAAATAAAATGAATTTCTTGTTCGTGTTCACAGTTTTAATTAATAGAAGTCAAGTGTAAATTCGGCATAAGTGCTATTGACCAGGCAGACCGAATGTTCGCACCCGTAACATTTTGGCAAGAATGTGTCTGATGCAAGATCTGATGCAAGATGGCGCTTAACGCTAATATAGAGGTTTGCTAAATATTTAAATATGCCGAATTTAAAATATGCATGTACCTGATTATGGCATGTCCACGACTGAAATCACGCTGTGATAATATAGTGTGTACATTGAATGTATCACAGAATTAGCTGCTTTTTCTATGGAGTTCGGCATTAAAGTTTAGCGACAACCTTTTGTAAAAGTTTAGAAAAAAAAGTCTGAACCAAGTTTCAGCCATTACTGATAGGTTTTCATTCATACGCCATTTTCTTACCTTCACTTCAGCCTTTTGTAAAAGTTTAGAAAAAAAGTCTGAACCAAGTTTCAACCATTACTGATAGTCTTTCATTCATACGCCATTTTCTTACCTTTACACTAAAAAGTTTGACGGTTTGAAATCCCAGCCAGTTCGACTCGTGCCCCACTGTGGTGCCAAAAAGACGACACCGTCTCAAAGATTTGAAAACGCTTTGGGCAAACAGAATTTTCGTCATTTTGGCCTAAAGTTGAAAAAATAAATAAAATAAAACTACCAGTGAAACTAGAAACAAAGTTATTTAAGGAGACAACTAGGTGAATAAGTGCTCGGCGTCCTCTTCGTGTCCCACGCGACTTCAGAAGTTTCACATGATTTGTCGATGCGTCGTTGTTTTTCTCACCGCTTGAAGTTCAGCGGGGTTTGATTGGGTGTCATAGATAACGATGAAAGTGATGAAACTGCAAAGAAGCACCGATGCCAAGATCCAGTTTGGGGTCGGTTGGTTGGTTTAACTGCCCAATATATACATACACACGTAAATATGACAGTTCTCGGGTATCTTACATGTTTTTAAATCTTATCATAATTGTTTTAAATGCATAAATCGGTGTTGCTTTAGATCTTGCATCAGACACATCATTGCCAGTGGTAAATGAGCTCTGACATGTGGTCTGTTTTCTAAACGTTCGTTTTTACTAAAAAATGAAAATGAAAAGGTCCATATTTTAATGTTTTTTGTTTGTTTGTTTTGTTTGGGGTTTTTTTTTTTTTAGTATTTTAAATAATTAATCAGCAAATAATTCAAGTATCTATGGCTGAGTGTTGATATTCTGGCCCCTGGTTAAACTTATCTTTAATAAATAACACAATTTGAAATAATGTCACTTTGACAGCACTGTTTTAAACTTTGAAACTCAAGTCAGGGTGTTGACATTAACGTATTCTGCAGTACAAACTGTTTCCACTCTTAAAGGTTAACCTATCAAATTCCACCACAGGATTCCTATATTGACACCCTATGTTTTATAAACAGGCTATACTCTGTAGGCTGAATTATAGTTCCAACGGAAGCTTTGACTCTTATTTTCCCACAAAACTGCAACCGTTTTATATATTTAAATGATCTTACTTCTGTTTCTGAATCTCAAAAAGTGCTGTCTTTACTATGCTGTATTGTAGAAAATGCCAACACTACAGAAAAATATATTAAACAGACAAATTCAGTCCAAGCCTATTGAAGAGAAAATAGAGGAAAATGTTTTTGGATGTGGAGTGACAGCAGCTACTTATAGAACTGCTGTGCGTTTGCTTTCTAGGGTCAGTTGCCTGCAGGACATAGGGGAGAAAAAAAAAGGCAAACTGACCATGTGCAGGATCCATGGTGGTGGGATTAAGGGGGCCTGTGCATTTGCTGATCACTGCAAGATTGGCCCTGTGTTGAGGAAGCAGTCTGACTGTCACTCTGCTGGGTGCAGCAGTCTGAACACAGTGTGAGAGTGAGAGCATTGCAGGACCTTTACAGATCTGGTAATACCTTCACACTCCAGAAGTCAGACTCACGACTACAGAGCCTATACGTTTTTACACTGGTGCCCTGCGTCGAAAAAACAGTATTAAAACATGAGGGAATTACGATGTGTCTTCTTAGGCTTCCGTATTTTTAAAATAGATTTCAGTCCTAATTGGTTTATATCTTAAGTATGTGACTGCCGTAAAAAATACTTTCACATTTCTCCAGTTTTTTCATACTTTCACCACTCAGAGACACAGTCTCCTCATCTAAAATTTACTCCATCTTTTAATGAAGCACTGCTGACACCCAGTGGTGAGTCTCTGCTCAGAGTACTGTACCTGGATGTATTTGAGCCTCTGAACAGTATCACAGTTGAGATGTGGGTCCCTGCTCTCTCTTCTTCTTCCTCCTCCTCCTCCACTCCCTCATCTCTCTCTAACAAAACATATAGACAACATATAGGCATCACAGTACAATATCAACAATTTTGTTGTATTAAGTACAAAAGTCTCCGATACTGGTATTGACAGATACTGCAAGTTATGATGACACAATGTGTAGGTTTTAACAGCAACATCTAGTGGCGAAGCGCATGCTGTGTATATTGTTTATATATTATATTATTAATTACAATCAATTGACTGTGACTAATTCTGATATATTGACATTGCTAAATGTTACCAAAATTATTATACTTTTTTTTCTTTGGCTTTTTGTCTATTGCAAGGCGGGCATCTGTCCCAGAATTGAAGCCTAATGAAACACATACTGAGCATTGAGATGATGTTTAAACAGTGTGTGTAAATAACAACACGTGTATGGACTGCTTAATATTTGGATATAAATATAGAACTTAAAGTTTCACTGAAGCTTTTCTGAACAAAATGGAAAATTGCTGTGGTGATTTAAGGAGCAGGAGAAGTCTGTGTAACGTGCAGCAGGACCCTCGATTGCCGGGAGGGCTGCGGCGGACTGGAGTCTAAATTCCTCCACTGATCGGCCCAAGTGCAGCCTAATGAGAGTCGGTGTCTGTCCTCGTTGGAGGGACCCCACATTGTCGGAGGTTCTAAGTGTAAGTTTTCAGATGGTGACTGAGCTTAAGGGAAGACTTAAATAGACGGTCGGACTCTCTCTGCCAGGTTTCCAGGCACAGTGTCGGCCTTGGGGTTGAAGGAATAATAGATCGCGCATTTCAAGCATCTATGGCATTAGAGGATTATTTCACAGTGACAGGACTGACTTTATACAGCAACCACAATGACAGACATTAGAAACTACTTTTAAATTATTATTATTATTATTATTAAATTATAAAATGACAAGTTAACCTTATTGCCTCCTAACAATAGAAAGAATTAGACGTTCCGTTCCTAAATCACATCATTAATATTTTATAACTTTAGACTGAAAACATTTAGGTCTGATTTTAAAAGAAATCCGGGGTTACAGCGTATCTCGTGTTTTCAGACAACAAAATGCCATTTTGACACTTTGACAGTTCATGGCCTATTAGCTACAGGATCAAGTTAGTCACAGTGATTCCAAGTTTGATTCCCTGGCCCAAACTGTGAAGTGTTAAGTGAGCACTAAAAAACTTCCAGGCCCTGTAAAGTATGGGCAGCACTTTGCATTTCACTGGTTATTGTTCTGGGTGAACTTAAGGAACTTAAAGGTGTTTTCTATTTTCCCCTTAAGCCTGAAATACCTGGAAACATAGGTGTGTTCTTCACCTGGTGGTTAAGAAAACAACGTCAGCACAGATTAAAATTGCACGATGCTGAAGACTGGTTCTACATGTGTTTCTTCTAGTAAAATACCAGCAGAATGGTTTTGTACTGCGCACTGAAAGTCCAATACTAACCAAAGACCCATTGTTGCATTTTTATACAATTACAAGTAGAAGTGCAAAAGTCAACCTCCTGTCCACTAAGAAAGTGATTAACAGTATTTAAAATAAGTAAAACCAGAAAGAAATATGTTGGGTTTTTTTAAAATTAAACTCAATGACTGATGTGGTGCTACAATAAGATGATGATGGCAGAAGTGACCTCTAGGTCATATGAGTTTGAGACCTTAAGGGGTGATACAGTGGTCAGTAATAATCACCACCACTGTAACATGTTAAAACTCGTCCTGTCCTTATTCAGTGTGATGCCATGACAGCGAAACCCAAAGAAAGACTCTGACTCAGCGTCGTAGTTTTTTTCGTTGTTGTTGTTGTTTTAGGGATGACACGTGACGACCACTTCAGAACTCCACTGTGTGTGTCTTAGAAAGTCTTAGAAAGTCATCAGCCGAGGAAGAAGACAGAAGACACAATGCCTCTCGGCGACTATCGGATTGCCCTCGTCTCTGGTGATGTAGTGTTCTCGGTTAAAAGGCCAGCGAGAATCTTTGTTTAGCCTTTCCTCGTCTAATCCTTGTGAAGCCAGAGAAGGCCTTTTGACTCCACCGGGGTTGGGGCAAAGAGAGTGCGGGCCACAGAGGCTGCATCAGCCCCCTTAAGGAGCCATGGCCCCGCTCTTAGAAATCCCAAGAAACTTCACACCTCTCTGCAGGGACTATAAATAGGCTCCATCTGTCCCCACAGGCTCAGTTACAGCCCCATTCCTTTTGGCATGGTAGCAGGGCAGGGAAGGAAGCACTCTGAGTTTCAGAAAAGAGGGGTGGAGTTGGGTAAGAAGGTGGACGCAGTCCAAAACCCACTCTGGATCTAGTAGATGACTGTGTGACCGCCGCAGCATATTTTCCCTCCGTACTTAAAAACACGACTCCTGAAACTAACACCTCACTGAGACAAAATACCAATGACCTGGAAGACTCTGCCATCTTTGGAATATTAAAACACACTGCATTCAGGGCATATTTTTTTCCCAGACTCAGGTTTTCACATTTCATTAGTCACAGAAGAACCCCAGAGTGAGGACAGGTTCTCTGTCTCCAGGTCATTCCCTCTTTGGCCGTTTGTTTTTTTTCATTTTCTTTTTTCATCTTTGAATCCTAATCGCTGCGCTGCAGATTTTGGGTTCTGGTTGTAGTGGACAGACAGACAGACTCTTGAGTGAGAGTTCACGTCAGGCTCCTCAGACTGGAGTTTGAAAGACGCTAAGCAACACATCAATGCCTTAGATCTCACCATCATTCCAGGGAGGAGACAGTTATGGTGCCTGTCCTGAAGCAAACCTGGAGGTAATAAATGCCCTGCACGATTCTCTGATCCCCGTCCACACACACACACACACACCCCAACCCTAAAGGACAAAGCAAGGGAGTGAGGCAATGATACGGAGAATAGAATACCAGATATATATTTGTTTGCCAAAGACTATCCTTCATAGACCGGCCCTCTTCCATCCCTGTGTTCAACTCCGTGATGCAATAAAACGGTGAATTTTATCAGGTCCTCCTGTTTTACTTATTTAACATATGCTCTATCCCCCATGCGCAACGCTGTTTTCTAATATTAAAAAAAAACAACCCATTTGTTCTGTTCCATTTCACACGACTGACAATAACTGTTTGTGTGCCATAACTGCTGGATTTTAGCAAAACTAGCTCAAAATATGTGAGGTGATCCCTTTAAATAGAGAAGGATATGGGAGGTGCCATTGTACTTGAGTAAAAGGAGGCAGTAAAAGAGATTTTTCGACAGCACATGTCGGCTGTCTGTACGACAAGACTGTTATAGGCTGCCCACAGGTCAAGGAAAAGCGTCTGACAGCTGTCATTCTAACTGGGATTATTTATAGATTAGCATTTGAGTCAGACACAAAAAGACGACTCCGACTGTTTTTTCCTATTTACGTGGGTGTGTTGGTAAAGTCAAAAAGCCACTATGGTACTTTGGTGATTTACAACACACTGACCTCACTTAAAGCTGTTGTCAGCCTCAGCTTTGGGCCAACCCTGCGTCTGTCACTGCCATTAGCGTTAGCATTAGCGCTGCCACTCCTCCTTCTCCTTGAGTCACCTCATGAATCCATTTGCTGAAGTTGACTCATCTCATTGAGCCTCATGTCTTTCAGCCCCATCTCACAAGTGTTGGATGAAGTGTTGCAGAACACTCAAAACGGTTTTCAAACCCCGGAGACCCGAAGTCAGGGAACCGATACTCCAGCTTTTACACCACACTATACATCATCGCATGATAGATGAGACGAGAAGTGCAGAAGTAAATAGCTATGACTGGACACGAGTGCATTATTAAAGCCACTCGACATGTTACTGACTCAAAATAAAACTATAACAGTCAGGTTTGGGGGTTGATAAGGCGTGGGATGCCAAAAGAATGGTCACAAATTCAACATGCATTATGGGAGATGTAGTTTAAGGTAAACATACACTTGATTATACACTTGATTCCACCACTACAATTAACCCATGCAGTCAACAGTAACATTAAACTACACTGTAGACCTGTTGTCTATTGTTTTTTAGACAACCATCATACGTAAAGCTCTAGGGGGCGACACTGTTGTCATTATTGTTGACATACACAACTAAACCCAAGACGATGGAAGATTCCATCAGCTTTTAGTCTATTACGAAAACATCCCGACAATCATGACGTAGAAGCTGTTATTTTGGGATGAGTGGTTGATGTGTAGTAAGATGACCTTCCACAAATGTGACCTTACATTTCAGTATTGGTTTCACAACTGACCTGCACACCGGCTACAAATGAATGAATGTATGACAAATAAATATCAATATATAGTATATCTGACTTTCAGTCAACATTTATTCATTTACAAATAAATGTTGTCAGGGACATTTCTCAGATAAAACAACCCTGAAGTGCAACGACAAAATGGGCGAGAAAAAAAAGTTCACAGTGCAATATTTGCCATTTATATTGACAAACCAACAGCTGAAAGTGTATACAGTGAGACTGATTGATATAAAAAAAATTCACTAATTGGCAAACAAAAATTGAGTCATTTTTGTGTTCTCTACCAGCGCTCATCTGCCATCACATCTTAATAAAGTAGAGTTCTAAAGTGCTGCTCAGCCCATTAAAGATTCTATAACGGAGCTCAGGCTGGACTGCAGCACAGCTGCAAAGACTGGAGCAGAGTTTCTATCTGTGGAAGGAAGGGGAAGTCAGCCTCAGAGAAGGTGCAGTGGAGTGAGCCCCGATGACAGCTGAGGGACTGAGGCTTTCTCTGGATTGCCCTCGTGGAGATGGGGTCAGGCAAAGCAAGGCAGAGGGGGGAGCGATGCACCCGCAGAGTACAGGAATGCATGCAGTTCAGTCACCACCGGGCTCTGTGGTGGTGGCAGTGGGGGGAGGGGATTGAAGGGGGGGTTTACTGCACCGCTGGCACAGAGAGACAGATTTAGACAAGAATTATGAAGACAGAATTTGCACCCTTAGCCTTGTCTGGGTTACAGGCATCAGCAGGTGAGAGGTCCACTATAGATCCCTGCCCTGTCACGTCACATCCTCCCCCAGGAGTGGTGGGTAATGCCCACCAACAAAGAGCCCCAAACTGAACACAGGTGCCGCTTCACTGAACTTACACTGACTAAAAATAAACAAGGGCTCATTATTAGGCCTAATGGTCACCTCTTCCACCATCTGTCTGTTCAACAAAAACTCTATTTCTCCAGGTCTTCTTCCAATTTATCAAAGTCTACGTTGATGCTTGTCGTATCTGTTATAGTATTTCATCTTCTACTTGAACTGTTTACTCCTTAGGTAACCACACTGCTTAACACTGTACTACTTAGATTAATATATATGTGTAATATACACATTAAAAACGTATTTATCCTGCAGTTCAGTATTGTATCTGAATGAATGGGGTGAGTTAGAGACTGGCTGAACTTCATATATTTGAAACAACAAAAAAAAAAAAAATCTGGCTAAATGAGACAACAACGGTTTGAGAGCGAAGGCCGACTCAGGTGAATGAAGTCAATAAACATGTTCTGTTTCACCCCGGGTCCAGGACTCGGGACACATGACGACTAACGGCCTTTTCTTTTCTGGGAAACCCTTCTACTCATTTCCAGTATCTTGTTTCTGACTGTTGACTGCGATGTTAATGTCTTCTTGACAGAGGCTGGTGTGTGTGCTTTTAGAAGAAGGAGCTAACCCACATTAGCCACATTGGTCTGTATTTACAGAAGGCTTATCAGGAGTCAACTGGGAGAAGTACCAGTAGTAGTAGTAGTAGAAAAACTAGTACTATAACCAGTAGTAGACTCAGCAGCACCAGACGTAGTAAGGGATACTGGAGTACTAGTGGTAGTAATTGAACTAGTACTTCAAGTAGTAAGACTTAGGTTCGGTAGTATAGTGGTAGTAATAGCAGTAGAAAAGGGCAGGTAGTGATAGTAGTTGTACAATAGTAGTAGTTATAGTTGTAATATGAGTATTACTTGCATTGTTAGTAGTAGTAGTAATCATACTTCTAGCAGTACTTATAGTAGACGGACTACTAGCAGAAGCAATACCAGTACTCATAATTATAATATTATAATAATTATAATATGTACAATAATTGTTTGTTTTAGTAATTTGTAGTTTAAGTACTACTTGTAGCGTGTAGGAACAGTAAAAGTATCTGTAGGTATGTAGTAGATAGATAGAACTTAGAGTAATAGTACAATTTAAGGCAAAGAGTAATAGTACTATTCTACCAATAACAACACAGTTATCTTATCAAGATGTTGTTAAATCATAAAAACGCCATCTTTACTCACAAAGCAGTAAAAGAAGATTTATTCAACTGTTTCTTACGTTTCTTTTACTAAACGCTTTGTGCCACAAATAAGGAAAAACGCAATATTCGCGTATTGACGTCATTAATTGTCGAGTAATTAGCGCGTCTTCAGGAAACGTTAGAGGTCAATGTTGATCGTAACGACGCGTCACACCGTGCGTTAAAGTTGAACCAGGTTCGTCCAGAAGCAACCACGTGACCTCTCCCCCCGTCCTCCCGATGTTTTCGTTTTTGATTAAAGATAAAACGGCATCAGGACACACTCTCTGGACCGCGGCCATATTACCCATGTTTAGAGAGAAGTTGACGCTCCATCCTACGACGCTCCGAACCCCGCATACCCCCCCTCCCATCAGTCATCCAATCCTCACAGGGGGACGGTGTTAACGGGGGTCAAGAGGAAAAATAGCCTCATATATATACGCCCTGAGAGGGATTTCTTGCTCTGAGTCTCCTCCAGTCGTTGCTACACTCCTTGTGTTGTCACCCGAACCGGGAATTTTGTCCGTGTCTTCAATTTAGCGAAATGGCACCCAAGAAGGACCCAAAGGCCCCCGTCAAGAAGGCCGAACCCGCAGCGGCAGCACCCGCACCTGCACCTGCACCTGCGCCAGCCGCTGCTGCTCCCGCTGCTGCTCCCGCTGCTGCCCCAGCCGTGAACCTCTCCTCCGTCAAGGTACCGTCACCATGCTGGAGTAAAATTCCAGAACTTTTTTTCCCAGGACAGCGTGGTACTTTCAGGGAAACGGAAATTAATTTTACGAATAAGAGAAAACGCATTGGATTTAATTAGGATTTTCGAATAGGATAAAAAAAAAGTTTTTTAAAATTTTAACTTTAGAATAAAGAAATGACATTTTTGCAGAAGAAAGTTTAAACATTTAATGAGAATTTTTTAAATGTTGAAATGTGGCATCAGAGAAAATTAAATATGTATGAGAATAACTATAATATTGAAAAGGAGTTTGAAAAGAAATGGATTTTTAAAATTTTAATTAAAAATTAATTGTTAATTTGAATTGTCCTAAGGAGTTACTGGAGAAACTGTCCTAAGGAGTTTCTCAGGCCAATCAGATGATGACTGGTTTAAAGGTGTTTCTGAGTCTCAGGCCAATCAGATGATGACTGGTTCATTTTACTGAGGGTCAAATTCACCAGCAGCAGATTGGTACCATATCTAAGAACGTCAGTGATTAAAGTGATGGGGGAAAAAATGTTGTATTGTTCTAGATCCATCCATCTGTGTTTTGACCTCAGTGTTGAGGATCAGGAGACAGTGGACACGCTGTTGGTCAGTCACCGTGAGCAGCTGTGAAAACTAGAACCATGGATAGCGCATCATGGTTTAGGCCACGCCCCCCCAGTGGGTGACGACTCTGTGATGCCAGTGCAGGAGTTGACACCAAATGTGGACATGTCAATGTAGCTAAAGATGGACTTCTACAAACAGGACCCCGGCTAGTGAGGCTAATTTTGGCAAAGAGATGCGATAAATCCCGGCTGAGAAGTGATTGTTTGGTGCAGATTAAGTGTCAAATGCCACTTTGTGTTGGGCTGCTGAACGACACAATGAGTAATTGTGTTATTATTACGATGCTCCGTCTCACATATGTTAAACACCAGCCTGTCTGTTTTGTGTTTACTTGCAGATTGAGTTCAGCGCAGACCAGATCGATGGTAAGTGAGAAGGATTTCACACTTTTTTCTTCTTCTTCTGTTTTTTTTTTTAACGCCACTTTTAACCATGGTTTAATAGCACCACTGAGGAGAGCGATTAACATAAGCTGACACCCCACACACACACACACACACACAGGAGTCTGCTCAGGACTAATGGTGATTTCTTGCCTGAGCTGGCCTTGAACGCACCAGATGGAGCGTGAAATGTATTGGCCGGACGAAGTCGAGAATCAAATCTAACATCCAAGGCAGTTAAAAACAACAACAACAACAAAAAACAACCCTGCAGTAACGTAGATGCTTTAGATGTGAGCAACACAAACATAGACATTTTTTGAATAGATAGATGGATAAAAATAATGATAAAATATATATACAAATAATTATGATCACGATTAATCACGAATAATCGTTAGGACTGGAGCTACCCCTGTGATTAATCTGACTAAAATATGTGTTTCCATGTATTTGTTTGACAGCCCTGATAAACAGATGATAGACAGATGGATAGATGGGCAGAAAACGATTAGCTGAGCATCCTGGGGGCGGGAGGTAAAAACAGTACTAGTTCCTGGCTCCTGAGATTAACTTGCAGCTTGTGTACTGGCAGCGAGCTGGAGTCTTAAAACTCTATATGACAAGTTGAGCCCTGCTGAGCAGCGAGCCAACAGCCTGTATTTCAGCGGTGAATATTCAGCAGCTCATATCGGGGATTTGAAGAGGATATCACAGACAAACAGTGAGGGGATAGTGTAGTGTTTGATATGGAGGAACACCTGCATGATCACCCCCCCCCCCCTTCTAACCTGGACTGAACCCCATCCCATCCCATGACGGCAAAGCTACGCGATACACTGCTGTCAGCATTCCCGGCATTTACTCAGCACACCCACTGGGGAGCTTGCCTTTAAAGGAGGGGGCTCATATTCTCAGCTATGTTTATCAATTCCAAGGTGGTCTTTTAAGAGGGGGGGGGGGGGCAGAGAGAAAGAGAGAGAGAGGGGGGATAGAAATAGTCTGAAGGTTGATTCAGCCTGGCAGGTATTCAGGCCATTCACTCCATAAGACCACAGCCAACAGGCATGTCTTCAGCTCTTCTGAAGAGGCGCTGACACCACCTGCTGGCAATTATCTGCCACTGCCACAGATGAACTCAAATGACTAATAACTAAAAATGATTGAGATCAAGATAATAACGTTTTGCTGTAAATTCAAAATGAATTGATGTCAATCATTGTAAGGTTTGTACTTTTATACTGAGTAGGAAATAAACTGTTTTATACAGTCTGTTTTTGCTAGCAGGGATATTTTGGTTTATTCGGGGGGGGGGGGGTTTTTTTTTTCCTTTTATTCCCTATCGAGTTTTCACAATCATAGTCATTTAACCATATTCAAATGTGAATAGAACTGTGTTGTTCACTGATTAGCTGAACATTTTCCTTGTACTATATGCGTATTTAAAAAGTAAACTATCATTATATATTTATATGGATTTGTTTGTTTGTAGAACAAGCTTTAAAAGAATGGTTGCCGGTTAAACTCCCAGCCCTGACCGGACTGTGTGTGTTGAGCAAACGCCAATAACTGATATTAAATACTAATAAAAAATATATTTATAATCAATAGCAGACTACAAAGTAATACTTTAAAACACTACAAGTGATCAATAATACAGTGCAAATAATACCCTACAGTGTTCATAGACAGGGCCTCAAACCACAGGTTTAAATGAAGTGAACAGTTACTCACCAGAGCGTGTTTGTTGTCGTCTCTTCTCCTCCTCTCCAGACTACAGAGAGGCCTTCGGTCTGTTCGACAGGGTGGGTGACAACAAGGTGGCCTACAACCAGCTCGCCGACATCATGCGCGCTCTGGGACAGAACCCCACCAACAAGGAGGTGAACAAAATGCTGGGAAATCCATCTGCTGACGGTAAGAGGGTTTTACGGTGGTTAGAATCGGTTAATCGTACTTCACAGTACTGCAGAAATGTACCTGAAAAAAATCTATGGATAAATATGTGTTTATAGGACATATAGGGTTCAAGTCATACTTCCATTTTTACTGCAGCATTTACTGCCTCATATCCACATTTCATTAATGTACTGTATTTTAGTTCAAATGTTTACACCATGTACTAATGTACCTCAGAGAATATTTGTCCCGCCCCTAGTATTCCCAATACCCAATGAAATACAGCAGCAAAGGTTTAGCCTGTTCAGCTAAGACTAATATACAAAATAACCTTTGAGGCTACACACAGTAAATGAGAATATATACAGTAACAGCTTAAAAATACCATATTCCTACCTTATTCTAATATAACTTTATCTTCAAATATATTTCTACTCCATTTGCAATTCTGGTTTGATGCATTCTGTATTTCCTCGCTCGGTAACCGTGACATGTGCAGGTGAATCTAATTTAATCTGAAGTGACTCACATGATTCTACCGGGAATCAATCCCCCCTTATACCACTAGAGGGAGGCCGAATGCAACTATTATTATACATGCCATAGTTAGCGATCCACAAATTTATCCATTCATAAAATTAAACAGCTTTTAAATTATTAATACTGACCGTCTAGAGTTTAAATCGATTATACTGAAGTCCAAAATGAAGACTTTTTTATTAGATACAGAACATGTAACTGCAAGAGATGGAAAAAGGAAATTAAAGTGTGATGTGGTGACGTCATTCCTGGTTGTTCAACTCTAGACTGACGTTGTCATTTTTTTTTTATCTCAATTCATGCAGATATGGCCAACAAGAGAGTAGAGTTCGAGGCTTTCCTGCCCATGCTCCAGACCATCATCAACAGCCCAAACAAGGCACAATTCGAGGATTACGTTGAGGGTCTGCGTGTCTTTGACAAGGAGGGCAACGGCACAGTGATGGGCGCTGAGCTGCGTATCGTCCTCTCAACACTGGGTGAGTTGGTTAAAGAGACTGTAGTATGTGTGTGTGTGCTTATGCTACAAACTGCGTTATTCACTCTGTCTTCCCCTACAGGAGAGAAGATGACTGAGAATGAGATCGATGCTCTCATGGCAGGTCAGGAGGATGAGAACGGCTGTGTCAACTACGAGGGTGAGTTTCAAAAATCACATAAATAATAATATAATATTAATGATAATAATTGTATAATAATTACAATGAAATTATTTAATAGATGAATAGATTGAATAGAATTCATATTTTACAATTGCTGCAGTTTATACTCGCAATTGTGACAATATTTTATATATGACTGATTGTTTCCATATTATAAAGTTAAGGCAAAGTGCTTTTAAAGGTACTATTTTCACGCACTTACGGAAGAACGTATTATAAATTAAAAATGCTTTAAACCGCCACTAGATGGTAGTGTCGACATTTACTGTCGAGGTACATTAAATCGACAGTCTGCCAAAAGACTTATTTTCATGAATGACAAAGTAGTTTTATCTCATCTTTATTCCTCCATTTTTATTCTCCTGTACTGTGGCTCTACGTAGCATCTTTCTTAGCTATCATTTATTGTGTTTATTTATATTATTTATTTATTGCATGTATTATTTATTAATTCTTCTCCTTTTTCTCTCATCACCCCCACAGCTTTTGTCAAGCACATCATGTCTGTGTAAGGATCCTGCTACCGCGGTGGTGAACATCATATATGTGCAGACCCCATGGTGTCGCGACATCCACTCACTGTTTCCAGTTCCATCGGAGGAAGCACATGGAGCAAAGGACTATGAGATGTCATTTTCCAAAACCTTTTGTTTTGTTCTAAACTTTTTTTTTTCTCTGTCCAACTGGTGCTTTTTTCTCTCTCCTCCTCCTCCTCCTCCCCATTTACTCTGTTTTTGGAAGCCATCCCATCATCATTTTCACCCAGATCCTCCTGTTTGATTGAGGGTTTTTTTTCCTTTTTTAATCAATCACTGCTTTTTGGAACAGCAATGGAGGGGAAGATCGGATAGTGACGATCCTCTCCTGTCTCTTTATTGTCTGGCTGGCTCTCTATCTGCCAGGGAGGTGACTGATTTGGCCCAGGACTGGCCATCAAAATGAAACCACTGCTCATCAAACCACCCCCCTAGTCTTAACTTATTGTATCCTCTGCCATTTCACAATAAAATTTCCACAAACACCCACAACTGTTAGTGGTTTGTTTGGTGCAAGTCCTTTGCTTGATTGTTTAACTGATAAGTATTTGATTATAGTACTTGGGAGTAGTACTACAGTGACAGCTGGACATCAGAGAGCCTGGCACACTCATGCTAACACTTTTAACTCAAAACAACAGAATTTACAAAGTTATTATTATTGTACATATACATCCAGTATCAGGCTGTGGATTCCTTGGCACCAGATGGACAAAAAAAAAAAAATTCCGAACAGAAACCTGGGCCAGTTTAGTTGATGTCAACATGGATATACTCACAGGAATTGAAGAAATTTTTTTCAGCAGCTCCTCTTTCTCCTCTCCTTTAGTGTTTATAGCCATCTACTGTCACCTAGTAGAACAGTTTTTAATTGCTCTGCCTGGTAAAGTCACATAAACAAAACACTAATTAATTTATAGTTTTCAGACAAATTCTGAGAATTTTTCCACGGTATACCAAAAACAACACTTATTTGCAGTAATTAATTTATAGTTTTCAGACGAATTCTGAGAATTTTTCCACGGTATACCTGATGATCCCACACAGCACACCAGTGTTCCTCCTCACAGTGGTTGGGAATCACTGCTCTACTGTAAATAATGTATCAGACGTCTTTCTAGGAAAATAATCTGGAAATGTTAGTCAATGTCAACAGTGAAAGCAAAAAAAAATGTGAGGAAAAAACAATCAATTTCTTAGTTTTAGTCTTTGTGATTTTTTTTATTCGCATTAATTATGTAGTTTTTTGTCATATCAACAAGAGAAAAACTGCGTACATCTACTTGATCTTTTAAATACATGAACAGTTGCTGTATGAGGAAGGCAGGAGGGGGCGAAGGGGGCACTTGGTAAAACACAAGAGCAAACAAACAGTCGCAGGTGAGAGCAGTTATTAGGCTAGAGGCAAGAGCTATATCACAGATGGTGTCTGGGGAAAAAAAACAAAAACAAAACAAAACCCCATCAGCTGAACACCGTTTTCAACAGCTGCGACAGGAGATGGATTAGTTTCCTGTGTCGTATTTATTTCTTTTTTTATTTTTTCCTTTTTAAATGGAAAACCAAATTCCCCTTAAACTTATCGCAACGAAACATCCACATATGGCAGCGTCTGTGGCTAAACGACATTAAATCCGCACCTAACGTACACACACATACACACGGATATTTTAAGTAGCTGCTCTTCTCTTACACCCCAGGCTAACTAGGCTAACAGATAGCCTGTTCATCTGTGATTCAGACAGCAGGCAATGCTGATGAGTGAGAAACGCTGCGTTCACGGTGGCGGGAAATCTACCTGCAGCTGTGGAGACAGTTTTTAACCTAGTGTTTTGTTTTTCTCTTTTTTTTTTTTTTTTTTTTTTTTGAGGACGCTGGCCGTGGGGGACAAACATTGTGTCGTGTTGTTGTGAGTAAAGAGGAGTCTATAATAAACTACTGCGCAGGTACGAGTGGTGTGTTGCTCTTCAACCACACTGAGACACATTCCTTAGCAACACCACATCAGCTGTCAGACACCGTTACCAAGCGTTACACCGTAAACAACTATAACTACAAAACAAAAACTCATTTGTTTGCTTGTTTTTTTTATCCAATAATTGAAGAAATAACTTACTAAAATTGTGGTTTTAACTACAAAATAGGCTCTTTTTTTAATCCTGTCAATCAACACATGCTTTTGATAACATAGTCCTAGTTCTTGCAGGGATTTTAATTTTTACAGGCGTTATTTGATAGTCACAGGGTCTCTTTCTTCAGAAATGTTTCAAGGACATTTGATGGTGAGGAACGTCTTATTTTTATACACACTTCTATATATATATATAGGTGGTAAATATATATTATATATACTGGATGACGAGAATGACTTGCAGTAAGGATGCTTGGTTNACGTGCTGCATGGTGTGCTGGCCAAGGCTGTAGCTTCTTCACAAAACTGATCCAGGACAATCAAGACAACAGCTGGTCCCCAGTCAGATCTGGGACCAGTGCTCAATCTGAACTATTCTATGCAACATCATTGATAAAGAGACAGAGGCCAACAAATGAATTAGAAATAACAAATATCTCTGCATCGAAAATAGATGAGAAAAAAGAGGAACGACATACGATAGCTCCTAATTCACCTCTCTTCCTAGAGTGGAGTCATGGATCTTGAAGTGGAGGAGTTCAGAGGCGGTGGTTTAGCTGAGGATGGCCTCAAGGTGGCAGGAGTGGGCACAAAAGTTTCAATACGTCAGGGCAAGGATGTCTGCGGCGTTAGTAACAAACGGAACAAACCCGCAGTTTTCACAGGCCTTGCTTCACCAGAGCCGCAGTGACGTCCTCGGCCAGCGTTGCTAACAGCGGAGACTCTGTCAGGTTGATGCTGCCCGAGGACGACAGGTGGCTGTCCCGGTACTGTTGTGGGGACATTGAGCCGGGAGATTGGATGACAATCTCAGCTCCGTGGTCCACTCTGGCTTTGGCTTGGTCACGGAACATCAACCTGTGGCTCTCAATCTGATTTACGCAGACGGCAGAATGAAGAGATGGACAGGAGGAGGAGAAAACCCAAATATTAATATAAATATTCATTGACTCATCTATTAAAGGTCAAAACATTTCAGGGTCGAAGGAGCGCTAGAGTCAATCATCTTCCACAGAGGTGTGGTACATCCTGGATAGATCGCCAGTCAATCACAAGGCCACGTGGAGGGAAAAAAAAAAACAACAAAACATTCACATCTACAGTTTGGTCCATCTATACCGACCTGAAAGGCCGCAGTGAGGAGGGTTGAAGAAGCACAGTTGCTGGGGAGGGGTGGGATCAGAAAAAAGTAAAATAAAAATAAATAAATACCTGAAATGAAATGAATAAAAGCATGTGCTCTGTTTTAAAAAGAAAAAAAAATTAAAAGAAAAAAAAATGGTTAAGACGGCAGCCGACCAAACCACAATCTCTGGGACACCTAAAAATATTTTGAAATATTAAAAAGCTAAATGTTTGTTTCATTATTGTGGAAAAACACAGTTACACTAATCTGCTCATAAAGTTGTCTTTAAGGCCAAATAAATTACCTGTTCATGTGGAACAAACATTTGACTGAGCTACAGGCTAAACTTAAAAAAATGAAAATCACTGTTATGCAGAGTTATAGTGCCCCCTGGAGGTGATAAAGGAGAACCGCATACTCTTTTTACCAACAATCCAAGTCTTTCTTTAAGCTCATAGGTTCCTAGTAGCAAATACATTACCTTGACTGTTATCCTCCAAGGCAGGTAAAGGAATATAACAAGTTTTTGAAAGATTGGCACATTTTATATGTACAAAATATAAAATACTTCAACTGTAATTTTTAAGGTTACCGTCATTGACCAAGTTTTTTGTTTTTGTATTTCTGTCTGTGTGAGTCTACACTAATACTAAGACAATTTTACAGTCTAAATATTTTTAAGATAATACACAGGTTTTTGGTGAGGTGAACTGCAGTATATCCCTGAGTCTACACTAATACTAAGACAATTTTTCAAAAACTTGTTTTCCTTTAATCATGGAACAGGAACTTAGAGCTGACACTCACCATGACTTGGCCTCCACCAGGAATGTGTTGAGCATTATCCAGGGAACCCACCTTGGCTTGGGCTTTGTCTTTAAAGTCCAACTTCACACTCTCTATACGCACATTACCTCCCCCTGAGGATGAAGGAGGGATGGCAACAATCAGTAAAGATGCAAAACCATCATTTACAGACAGGCCAGTATACGCTCTAAAACAGTGACCACCAACTGGTGTCCCGTGGGCCAAATACAGCCCACTGAACCACTCAAAGTGGTCCCTACTAGATTCCAAAATAAACATCAAATAATAATAGTTGACAAGAAAGGTGATTTTTATTATTATTAACTGTCTGTTACCAGGTCGGTGATGGATGTTGTCCAGAGAGCCACACTTGGAGGTCACGTGGCTCAGGTCAATCTTCTTGTTCTGTATCTGGATCTGAAAGAATCAAAGTCCAGAAAAGTTAGGGTCAGGATTCACCTTCACTGTACAGTGACGACTGACCTTTGTATCTAAAGCCATTAATTGTTAAAAAACAAAAACAAAAAAATTAATAAATGACATAAAAGAAGAGGAAAACACAAGTGTGAGAGCTGAGTAACAGAGACTGTTACATAACAGTTCATGTGTCATGAGGAGAACTGCAACCAAACCAAGGCTGAAGGCAAACTGTTTGAGAGTTGATACTGAAGTCTGAGCTTTGAGACTTTAATCCTAATACACTGTTCACCATAGGAAGGAAGAGTCAGTGGAGGAAAAAGAAGGAAAAGTTGCAGAGTTGAAAGAGGATGGAGAGGATGTGAAGCTGTGTGAGACACCTCTGGATCTAGAGTAAAAGAAAAAAAAAAACATAAAAAGATAAAAACATGAGGAAAGAAACAGCACGATGACTCAAAGGAAAAGACAAATTCTCATTTGTATCAATCACACAAACTAATGATCCATTTGTTACTCTAAATGTATGGGGCTGGTTTACAGGTGACACTTCACACAACGTGCCACAAATCCATGTTTACGGTCAGCCTGCTATCCATCCTCTGTCACACATGCAAAACACAACAAACACAGCACAAGTCGGAGACGTGGAGTTGGTTTGTGTCAGCAAACGACTGACCGCAGTTGACGTCAGTCTGCAACACCTGCAATGGTATCTTCATACATTTTTAACCTTTTAAAAAACGTAAATAAATTTAAAAAAAAGTCTGTCATGCTGTCAGGCTCTCAAGTTACCACTACTTCTGCTAGTAGATATTTAGAATCTGAAATGTGCTACAAACTTCGTTTTGACCTGAAAAGACTTGAGGCCAGATTTCCTCATAAAATAGTCACACACTTGACATACATTTGAAAAAGTTAGCATCTTAGCGAAAAGGAAACATCTTTTATTCAGACTAATCACAGTTCACAGCCCAGATTTGAACGTTGCTCCTGGTCTTCATGGATTAAATTAATTTTCTGCTAACGAAAGGAAAAGAAATTGACAGTTAGCATCTTCCTGTTTGGTGTGCTAACTGTATTGTCCTCACAATTGCCACCTATATTAATACTGCCTTTTGGTTCATTGTATATTAATTCAAATCCAAACGTAAAGAATAATCAGTTACTCAAATCCAAACGTAAAGAATAATCAGTGCCTGTATTCAGTATACATAAATACAAAAATACTCCATACAGATACTCCAGAATGCAGTATCTGTATGGAGCTATCGCTAGTTTACAGTGTACATGTAGCTTGCTACAGCTTGCACTTTCTCCATATCTATACAACTGCCCAGGACTAATGCCACTGTCTGCCCCCTGGCCTTTAACTGCCCTTGTCGTGACTCCTCCACTTCACCAGTGCCCTGAGCTTTGTCATGCGCTTGCTAAAAAAAGTAGCAAGACATGCTTTGATTTAAGGCTGTGACAGTCCAAAGTGTGTCTGCGTGTCATACGACACTGAGTGTAGATTAACATTCATCTTCTTCTTATGGCTCCCATATGTTTAGAACCTCAAACTATTCCTGCCAGGACTAGAACAGCCATGTATCAACCTGCTGAAGCCTTTCACTGATCCACCTCGTCAGGTTTCCCACTCTGCTCTTGGAAGAACATTCCAGGACATTTTCCAGGACATTTTCCAGCCCTGTCCTCCTAACAGCTCTGTAGAAGCCGCAGCCTTTCTCCCTGGTGATGCAGATGTGTTTCCAATCAAAACAGTAAAGGAGGTTGGAGAGAGCGGGCTATTCTGTGGGAAGTTTTATAAACTTTTAATTGCCTCATTATAAACAGGCTCTCAGGCATTGATAATGTGCCTGATACAAATTAGAGACCATCAGTGGAGCACACAAAATGTGCCTGTTGCCTTCAAATGTCTGTAATCAGAGTTAATGAGTGAGGAACCTGCTTCGAAGGAGGAACATTGTCAGAAACTGCTGCTCTTCCATTTTTTTTGGTTTTATTAATCTGTGAATTTCAATGTAGAAATATTTCAAAATGTTAACCTAAATTGATTGATCTGCTGAAGCTGAAGCGCTGGACTAGAAAATTCAGTCTTTTGGATTGGGACTTATTGCAGGACACAAACCACTCCGCTGATGTAATGATTATTAATGACTGCTGCCTTTACGGATGAGAGGAACAACAGCAGAACACAAGTACACAGAGATACCACACTGACACGACCACTGAGACGATGGACTTGTGGCACAACACTCACGTTTCCACCTCCTGCTGAGTAGCCCCGCCTGTCCAAGGACCCACACCTAGACTGAACATGGCTATAGTCCAGCTTAACACTGGGGATGAAGACCTGCAGGGGTGGAGGTCAGGAATAAGACGGGCCCAGACTTGGCCGAATGGCACGGAACTTCAATTGGAGACTTTTATTCAACTATAATCCATCTAAGAGCTAATGGGTTCTTGTCCTTTCAACAGGTACTTTACAAGTCTGCTACTATTTGGTGACTCAACATTCACGTTGCTGGAAATAAAGCTGCGGCTTGTATTCTATATTCTATAACGTTTTTTGTTTTGTTTTTTCATGGACCGTGAGCACATACACCGTTAGAAACACATAAACATGACGTTGACTTCAAGGACCAAGAAGAAGGAAGTCTGAAAAAAACATATGACATTTTCTTGAATTAATGAATTAAAAGCAGTTCATTCAGAATAGGGGGGGGGGGTGAAAATAGAGGTTAGCAAATGTGGTGAGCAGCTGCAAGGCAAGGAAGGAGGAGTGAAATGCAGATGCAGCAAAGTTAGAATAAAACTGTGAAGATCAGGTTTTTTTTCAGGGTGAAAGCAGTAGGAGGACAGGGATGAAGAGGAGAGGACAGGAGAGGAGAGGATATTAAAAAAAAAACAACCTTTACAGACATATACTTAAAATGACATCATATATAAATATCTTTTTTTTTTAAAATACTATGAAGTTAAAAATATTATTTTGATTGTAAATGACCTGTTCAGACTCCTGTCTCTCTCTCTGTAACTAATAATATATTTTCTAAATTTAAATAAATTATCAAAAATATTACATAACTTTATGGCAGCCTCATTTCTGGTCAATAAATTTGTTAATAACACATTTAACCCAATAAGGGAGCCATTATTAGACTGTGGGACGACATGTGAGTCGTGCAGGAGGATGATGCTGAGTACTGAAGGTAGAAACTAACTAAAGCTGCATGATGATCACTGTCTACGAAGGAGAGAGAGAGAGTGAGAGAGAGAGACACAGGCAGAGTGGACATTTACCAACATATGGCTCTGGTCATCTGCCTGTCTCTTATCATAAGGCCACCTTGGAGCCAGAGTTATTCTGGGGTTTATGGTGGGAGGGAGGCTATAAACATAACTGGGCCTGACAGTTGGTGGGCTGTAACTAGCTGCTCCTAGGCATGAAAGTAAAAGCTACATATAAAGGTAGAAATTAATGTTTTACTAGGGGTTTGGGTTAGACTGTAGATTTAAAAATAGCCTCAGAGTGGAAGGACAAAGAGGGAACACATGGAGTTCCTTCAGAAAGGAAGTTCTTCAGATTCTTCACAGAGCAGCATTTGACTTCGTGCGACTGAAGTCTGTGTCCTGTTTGATATCAGAGCATTCAAAATACAGCGTTTGATGAAAAGAAAAAACAAAGCAAGTGTATTTAGAGTATTGCTAATGTTTGCCCTGTGTTTCCCTATATTGTGTTCCCAATATAAACAAAGGCCAATCAGTTTCAGCATTAGGATTTAAACTAGAAAAAAACTGTCAACATTAAATCATGCTTACACCACAAATAACGACAGTATCAAGTGTTATTTTTACGGCAATTGTAATCCCTGAATGTGACACAAATCTGTGGAATTTTCTATAAATTCAATTGATTAACTATGTTTGACCAGAAGGGGGCAGACAGTCCACATAAGAACCATGACTCTTCAAGAGGGATTCTAAGTCTCATGGATGACATTTACATTTTTTACTTACTATTATTTAACACTAGCCCTTACATATAATGCATATTTATAAAGTACAAATAAAAAGAATAAAAGAAGATAATATATATGTACATATATAAATGTATTTTGCAGAAAAAAACTGTTTAGTTGTTAATATAAAATTCTTCCACTGAAATGAAAACAGGCAGACAAACAAACAAACAAACACATGCAACAACAACAATAATAATAATAACTAAAAAAGGGAGTATAAAAATATGTGTATGAGTGTATGAGAGCAGTATGTGTGTATGTCTGTGTGTATGGGTGGGGGGGGTTCACCTGTCCTCCTTTGGGCTGGTACTTGATGTTTTCTGTGGAGCCAATCTTAGACTTGATGTTCTTAAAATCAGGCAGTGGCTCGCTGATGATGCGCAGCTGCTTGGGTGTGGTCGCGGGTGACTTGGGTGGGGTGCGGACCACTGCCACCTTCCTCTCCTGGGACATCAAGCTGAGGGAGCGAGGGGTTCCCGGGGTCCTTGAAGACGACGAGTAGCTGGGAGGAGTTCCCGGAGTGATGGCGGTGGAGCCCGGTGTACGAGGGGTGGAGTGACCACTGCGGGCTGAACGGGAGCGCATCGATTCTGTAGCTGGTTGGATGAAGATCAAATCTCAAAGTTCAGTAAAATTGGTGGTGACAAAGTGTTAAACACAGCAGAGTTTAGAACCAGACTCTAAAAATATCACACCCATGAACTGTACCTTGACTTTCTACAGTGTTTTAGATCAAACTAAATCAATGGATGAGTTGCTGTAGCATTGATAGAGCTAATTAAAATTCCTTCTACCTGTCATAGCAGGCGCTCGCCCTGTCCTGTGCTCTGCTCTCATCTCGGTTCGGAATGCTGCAGGCAAAAGAGATTACGTTCATGATTTATTCATTCAGTACGAGAACAAAGACAGTAAAAAAACAAGGAGATGTTGGAGCTTGTTAAAAGTCAAATTAGGTTCTAACTGTGTCTACAACATTAATATCCCCTGGAACAGGGGTTCCAAAAGGTTCTCCTTCACCCTGATTTAAAAGACTGATTGAGAGCTGATGTTTATTCATTTTCTAGAGCGTCAGAGTAACCTGGAGAGTTAGAGCACCATGGACAGTTCCCTGGACTTTAACTGGGCCACATATAGATACAACACAACCATTCACAATCAGTTTCAATTTTGCTCGTCTTTTTTTTTTCTTTTTTTTTTTGGACTGGGAAAAAACCCAGAGAAAACCATCTGACTTCAATCTTCATTGTTAGTGTTGAAAAAAACATGCACAAAGATGCTTAAGAAGCACTGCATGAATATTTATATTTTACATATCACATGATATATTTAAGAATATTTGTCAACTCTACATTCAATCCTACCACCTAGACAAGCTGGTCCACAGGCCACAGCTATCCAGAGTGGGGCTAACACTATGTTTTGTGCAACAGGATATTACAGTAAATGATGGGTGGAAGCATGAAGCATGAATTTAACTTCATTTAGAGCAAAGACAAAAATGGCCGAAGCCATTTAGCTTTTAGTTTGAGAGGCTCTTCCATTTGTTACTGGAGTGAGTTATGTGATTCAATATATTATCAAAATATTAAGGGTTCATCAAGTGAGTATATTTCAGCCTACTTGTGGGTCTGCGGGGAGCAGTGGAGCCGGAGCTGGTGATGGAGGTGGAACTCTCTTCGTAGTCATGGTATCCACGGCGACTGAGTATAGAAGCATGCCTCAGCACCGAGGACTTCTTTTCTGGGCTGCGTGATCCGCCGTCCTGTTGTGACACAAACACCCACCAGACACAAGAGGGTGACACTGAGGCTGCGGTGGCTGTGATATTTTCTTAACAATGGATCACAAATAAGTTTAAAGATGCAGTATTATCAAATGGACGTATTTGTAATTGCTCTTTTGAGAACTCCTGCAGCTACTGCAGCGCTACTCGACCGTCCACCTACTTGTGGCGTGAGTCATAACACCGGAGAGCCTCTCGGCTCTGCTAAGGTCGGTCTAATGAGGCAGTCGTGCTGGAAATGGAGGTGGAGGAATCTTTGTTGGTGGCGAATAATGGGCACTGCACTTAGGTGGCACGATGATGTGGCTGAGTGGGTGAGCAGCTGGGCACCGAAATTCAGAATTCAGAGTGAAGCATGCATTAAGATAAATACAATTCAACGATCCCTTTCACACAACATTCAATAACAGGATACAAAACATCTGATACGACAGTATTTACTAATCACGTTCTTTTACATGGCATTCAATAACAGGATACGAAACACCTGATACGACAGTATTTACTAATCACGTGAAAGATTTTTAAAAACTAGAAAGAGACGAGATTAAAGTAGGGGAAACTAGAATACCAACAGTAATATATACATGTGAGCCTTGGAGTGACAGCATTACAGTTGGCAGTCATGATGTGACATTTTCAAAAAGGCAGAAACTGTTATTTTTGTCTCAATAAGTGTCATTACCATGGTGAGAAGTAGAATGAAGTCACGACCACGGTTGCTGGAGAAATGCCATGTGGTGATTTAACACCCACTCATTTACAAAACAAAAAACAGCCTTAGCTTCTCCACAGAACCTCAGCTAACAAGGCTACAGAAGCCACCGTTTACTAATAAGGTAAACATCTGAGACTCAGAAGAAAAGGTTAAATCCAAAAGACTTGGCTGTTAATGTCGTAACGAAAAAAAACATGTACCAGACATTAAGTTGATCTGAAAGAGAAATACACTGGCTAATTTCAGTGATGTGTATAAGTGTATTAATAAAGTAACATTATTCTCCCCTTAGCTTAAGCATTTCACTAAAATTGCAGTATATCTCAACATTAGATATTTTTAGTGTTGTTTTCACTTCTTGGCATTATGGTTTTTGTTTTTACTTTTTCTCAACAGTTTTTTTATTTGATTGCCATCTTTTATCAACATATCTACTTGTAGCTTATGTGTGCTAACATGCTACTAGGCTATTTAGCTTTCAGATACTAGAGCAGCACATGGAGGTGGATTCAGGTGTGGTATGAACCGTAGTTTATTTACATCAACTTAACCTAAACATTGATGGATTTCGCTGTGACGTTTAAACCAACTTCTTCTTAGGACAGTTGAAGCACCACTGGCTATTCTCTACATACATACTGTTTGTTAACTTACCAATGCTCTGTCCCTAGACCGCCGTGCGACACTTAGAGGTTGACGAGAGTCTGGTAGGGTCTCTGATGGACAAAAAAAGGTTAATTTATAAAAATAGTCAATACTTAGGCAGAATACTGACATTAAATAAATGTTATATTTATATATTTCACCAAATATAACTGTTATAATTCCATCTATAATGTCGTGTATGAGCTCTATAAGCTGTATCACAAATTCAATATCTGAATATAATTCCGTCTATAATGTCGTAAGCTGTATCACAAATTCAATATCTGAGGGGAGGTGTTTTCTGCCTTTTGTAATCCTGGATAGTATCCAGTATCCATTAATCTAACTGGGGCAATGCAGCACCATGGTGCGGATGTACCGCCAGTGACACAGAATTCAGTCCTCTAGGGGACAGAAGCACGTCAACCACCTCTGGAAAAGACCAGAATCAACAACAATCACTGGTTGAAAAAGAGATTGTGGGGAGGATTTTTTTTTAAACTTTTTTTTTTCAAAATAGTATGAAATTAGAAATTCTAATTTCAGTGGTGTTCTGTATCTGTGAAAGAACCAAATGCTCAAAGTGAAAACACAGCAAGAGAATAATAAAAATAATAAATAAATAAACACTCAGAAAAAGAATAGGAAGGGCAATTAAGTCAAATAAAAACCAGCATGGCAGTCAATTTTAATTGTTCCTGAAAATGACAACATGACACTAAAATCACTGCAGCACATAAAACAAAATGGCTGCCTCAGCATCCTGGAACCCGTAGCCATAAATGTGATGTGACTCTGCTGCAACAGAACAGGCAGCAGCTGTAGGACAAAGGCAACATGTCACCTGTGGTTCTTCTTCTGGGGCAGGAGTGGTGCAGGGGGCGGGTCTCGCGCATGGCAGATTTCATGGTGGTCCTCCTGGATGGAGACTCAGTCTTCCTGGTCAGCTCTGTTCTCCGTATGACTGCTACTTCATCAGAGGAAACATGGACAATGGGAAAAGCAGAGACACTTAGCAAAAAGCAGGAGAGAAAGTGGAGGGATTTCTGTGTGAACTTGCCCAACTGAACAAGTTATTCATGTATAATGTGTTTAAAAATTAGTTACAATTCTTTCAATATCTGTCATTTTGTCCTCTATGGATAAAAAAAATCCCATATTTTCCCCCATATTTTCCCCAAGATGACCTAGGAGCACTAAAGGTTAGGCAAATGAAAACAAAATGGTCGTATCATTGCATCATCCTTTCTCCACATAGAGTTAACACAAAATTCTAGGGGTAAAACAAAGCTGTCTACCTTTTTTCTTCTTCACTTCCTCTCTAGGAATGTGGACAGGTTCTTTGCGGACAGCTTTGCGTTCTGGTGTGGAGATCCGACCTCTGGCCTTTCCTCCCTTGGCCTTTGGTTTGGAGGTCTGTTTCTCAGTCATTTTCTGCTGTGTCTCCTTTGTCACCTCCACACCAGACTCTCCGTCTGGACTGAGAACCTTGGGCAATGGCTCGATCATTTCTGTTGCCATACTCTTGTCATCATCTGCATTGTGTAAAAATAGATAGAGTGAGATGACACAACTGGGAGTGCGGGGTGTTCTTTTTAGGAAAAAAAGGGATAGGTTTCCCTTCAGAGCGCTCACCTTGTGTGTCGACCCAGGAGCTGTCCAGGATAGAGTCATCCATTGTGGTCTCGTCCCTATCGTAGCTTTCCAACGGTTCTTCAGTTTCTACAGTTTGAACCTCCTTCTCGGGAGAAGCTGGGGCTTCCGAGATATCACCTATCTCCTCTAGACTGGCAGCCTCCATCTCTGCCTCCTGGGCCAGTTCCACAGATTCCTCCTCTTCCTCCTCTTGGTCTTTAAGAGCAGAGACACAAAGAGCTTCAGGCTCCGTTGGAGCCGAGAAACGGACGCTGTGTCCCGGCTCCTCTGCTTCATCAATGGTCTGGACCACAGTAATGAAGTCGTCCTCAACTGTCACCACTGACTCAATAACAGCGTGGGATTCTGGGATTTCCTTTAGTGGCCCAGCCACCATTTTTGCTCCCTCTGGTTGCTCCTCCTCACCTTCCTCTTTCTCCTCATTGGCAGGCATTAAGGCTTGGTCTGGCTGATCCTCTGGTAAGTCAGTTTTCTTTGCCACACTTTCTTCTCTAAGTTTCAGTTCTATTTCTTCTTCTTCTTTCTCCTTTAGTTCCCGCTCTATTTTCTCTCTCTCTTCCTTCTCTTTTTGTTCCTTCTCTAGTTTTTCTTTTTCTTCCCTCTCTATTTTCTCTCTCTCTTCCTTCTCCTTTTCTTCCCTCTCTATTTTTTCCCTCTCTTCCTTCTCTTTTTGTTCCCTCTCTATTTTTTCTTTCTCTTCCTTCTCTTTTTGTTCCCTCTCTATTTTTTCTTTCTCTTCCTTCTCTTTAAGTTCCTTCTCAAGTTTTTCCTTTTCTTCTTTTTCCTTTATTTCCCTCTCTAATTTTTCCTTTTCTTCCTTCTCCTTCTGTTCCTTTACTCTTCTTTCTTCCTCTTCCTTCTCTTTCAATTCCCTCTCAATTTTCTCTTTCTCTATTTTCTCCTTTTCAAGCTTCTCTTTCTCCTCTTTCTCCATCCGCTCACGGTCAAATTGTTCCCTAACGCCCTGCGCTTCCTTCTCCTTCCGCTCTTTCTCCTCTAGTTCCAATTTCTCCTTCACCTCCTGCTCTTTTTGTTCCCTTTCCTTCTTTTCTTTTTCATCCTTCAGTAACTTCTCTTTTTGTTCACTCTCTTCTTTCTCTCTGATTTCCTTTTCTTTTGTCAATATAATTTCCTTCTCTTTTTCCTCGGCCTCTTTGACTACTTTCTCCCGCTCTTCACTTAACTTTGGTTTAAATTCTTCTTTCACTTTTTCGTCTTTGACGATTCCTAATACTGGTGAAGGCACACGTTTTGGTGAGCCATATACTTCTCTTTCTCTGAGCTTGGAAGGTGACAGCACTGGGGAGAGCAGCTTGTCATCGTCAATGTTGCTCTCCACAGATGAAGTGGGTGAAGTTTTGACAGGTCTCGCAATACGATCCTTGGCCACACCAGTCAGCTGGTACACATCCTCAGCATCCACCTCCTCATAGGCTTCTTGGTGGACCAGTTTCACCTTCTCCCGCAGCTCCTGTAATTCCCGTTCCTCTTCCAAACTTAAGGGCCTGTCCTCCATCTCCAATTTGCGGATTTGCCGCTCATAGTCAGCAATCTCGGTTTCTGATGCAGAGCCTTCACCACTGCCTTGTCGTTCGGTCTCACTTACTGACCTTCCTCCCTCTAAGGTTACAGTGACTGTTGGCGTCACAAAGGTCTCGCTTGTATGAGTGGGTGGTTTCTCCTTCTCATCTGAAGTTTTAGTAAACTGACCGTCTGCAATCTCTTCGCCCTTTTCTTCTGCAGCATCCTTTGTTTCTGCCTGTTTCTGACCTTTTTCCTCAGGGACTTCAGCGTCCCCTGACAGCTGGCTCTTTTCCTCCAAAGATGTGTCTCTGACTCCCAACTTTCTTGCCTGCTCAGCCACTTTCTCCTCCAGAACAGAGGGAGTGAATACCTTTGCACAAGTGTTTGTAGGACTAAACACATCAGCAGGAGATGGCATGGGCCCAGAATATTCACTGAATACACAATAGCCCACGTCCTCCATTTGGCTGTCACTTTTTCTGGTCCTAGGACTTTGTTCTCCTGATATGAGACTTGCAAGTGGGTCATCAGCAAAGGCAAGAACATCAACCTGAATTGACTTCCTCCGGGTAATTTCTACATCATTGCTATCTGAAGCCAATCTGGAACGGGTACCTGCCAGGTCCAGCATCTCCGGCAGGTCTTGTGCCATCACTGTGCCATTTTTAAAGGTGTTGTTGGTAGGCTGAGGTGATTCTGGCAACTCCGGCTCTTCACTGGGTTTAGAAACAACATCCATCGACTTTGGAGGTGATGAAGAATCTGACGTTATGGAAGCTGCAGTCTCCAGGATTCGGGGAGGGAAGGCTGGAGACTTATCAACAGAGGGTGTAGTGATCGGGAGGTAGTCCGCAGATTCATCAAGGCTTCCACTTGTATAAGACATAATATCTGTGGCCAGAGGGGAGAAGTGCTTGGTTCTACCTTGACCACTCTGATCCAATGCTCCAATGGTGATGTTCAGTGAGTAACTCCTCTGCTCTAAGGCCAGTTTACCTGGGGAAAGCCTACATTCGTTACTTCTGTCAGGAACTTGGAAAGTTTTAGTGTCTTCTGTTGTCTTCTCTTTACTTTCAAATGTATCTTGGGCTTCATCTGGTGTGCTGTAACCTGCCTCCTGAGACCTGGAATCAGTCGCAGTTTTTTCCTCACCAGCTGTGCTCAGTTCGTAGTAACCTTCACCCTTACTCTGTTGAGCCGTTCCAGCCTCAGTGGCTGAGGTTTCGAAATACGCTGACATACCAGATTTGTCACTAGCATCTCTTGTGGAGTCTATTCCTTGATCTTTGGCCGCAATGGAGGAAAAATCAGAGGGTGCTCCAATGCTAGAGACCTCCACCACCTCGACTGAAGGCTGCTTCTCTGACACTGTGATTGGCTCGCCGTACGTTGGCTGAAGCGTAAGTGTTCTGGATGAATCTTTGGCTTGGTTTTGAGGTACACACGGCGGCGTATCCATGGTCGGGCTCTCTGGGACGACTCGTTCACCGGCAAAAAAACCTTCCATCGGGGACTCAAAAAACTCCTCTGGGCGTTTTTCTGATCCAATGCTGTCTGGGCTCATGGACCCACTGGCCTGCTTGTCCGAGTCCATCTTCAAAGCTGAAACAAAATCTGTAAGTTGGCTGGTTGAACATATTGGACAGATTGTGCGAGCATGCTGGGATTGAATCAAAATATTTAGTCAGGGACTAGAAAAGCCAGTATTACAGAAACAGGCAAAGCTGTCTTCGGAAACTTACAGCACAATAATATGGCCATCACTGAAGAACGGTGCGGTTATGGTGTCCATTGCTTCACAGATGAATGGGAACAACGGCATGGTAGATGACGGAACCGGCATGGGGAGACTGTGATGATGATGACCAATGAAAACCAAGCAATAACTGACAGAATGGATGTCCATGTGGGCCTGAACAATTAACACACAAGCAGAAAGCATTTCTGTCATTTGCATTAGTGCTTTGAGACTTGAGCCACAGTTTGAGGCTTTTACTCTGGTTGATAGCAACAGGTTAATTACATAATAAGATTCTTATAATACTATTATAAAAGCACTGTGCTGGTTATGACAGATAAATGCTACATGCTGTCTCAAGAGTCAAGCAAAAATAAAAAAAGTCAAATAAAACCCATGGATGCTTTTTATGAGATATGGTTCTTCGCGCAATTGCACGACAGCCAACACGAAGTACCTTGACGTGATATGCACAATAACAACAGCACCATGAATGATTCAAGTGGAGTCAGTGTGATGGTGGTCACAAATGTGCAGAGCGCTGACATAACATCACAAAACCACGTGACGACGTCATGATAAATCTGTAAGCTCGTAGCTAATAGCAGTTTGTCACATCAACACAGGATGCCCAGCCCCAAACACATCGCACGGTAAAAGAAAAAAAAAAACTGCAAGCGCAAAGTTAAAACACAATAAAAAAAATTAAAATAAAAATCAGGTCAAGTTAAAAGAATGTGACTCTTTTCACCAACAAGCCTGTGTTGCCTGGCAGCCGCAGCAGAGCACAAAGAGATTGCCTCGCCATTCCACCTGTATTTGCAATGCTTATGCTATGTGCTTATGGATTCCCTTTGATAAAAGTAAATCTGGTGTTCTCACACAGTGGACAATGCAGTAACATGCAGGCAGGGAGAGCAGAGGGCAGGACACACCTGTCTCCGGGCTCTCCTCACCCTCTGCTTCCTCCTCCTCTCTGTCCATAGAGATTTCTGCCGCAGCACTAACTGATTCCAACGGCTCCAGGTCTAGGTCCTGAGCCTCGTCTATGTCCTCTGCCTGTTCTAAGGTCTCATCTTGGGGGCTGTCCAGCTCAGGCTCCTCCCCACTCCATTGCTGCTCATCAAGAGCTGCCTCGGACTCTGCTGCCTCTGCACTCTCCTCCTCCTCCTCCTCCTCATCCTCCTCTTCCACTTCCTCTCCGTATTCAGCTGTAAGAGCCTCCATGGTCTCTTCTTCTCAAAAACAGGATGACAGGGGGACACATTAAGACTACAGGCAACAAAGACTTGGGTTATGTGGAACACAATTTATGCTGAGACACTTTCAGCTGTGAAAAGGGATGATGCCACAAAAGTACGATACACGTATTCTAGAATGACGTGGTACTGTCTGGGAATATTTCTGTTAATGGTATAATGTACATATCAAATGCTGATTTTGTTTATTTAAACTTTTGTTTATTTGAATCCAGGTCTCGGAAATGAGACCTGGATTTCTTAACTGTATAAAAATATTAAAATATCAGGGATTTGTTTGTAATCAAGCAAACTTCAAGACAATGATTTCAGGTGCTTCGCGGCCCAGTGTAGCTTCATGTCACGTAGCACTACATGAATTTTGTCATTAATGTTCCAAGCGACTGCGAATAGTTTTTAGGCATAACTGCATTCACAGTCAACAATCTGTCCGACCGTGTTTTGGGTGAATTATTACCTTTAGTGAATGTGAAGCGATCGATTTAGGATTATCTATGTTGACTTATGTTGAGATCAGCCTAAATATCAATTTCAACTTATATGACACAATTTCATAAAAGACGGGATTGGAAAATTCACTGACAACATGATACTGCTGGATAGGGGAGCAACAAAGCAATGGACGAGACAACACTTAGGTAAAATAAATTAAAAACTGATATAAAACTGTACATCACCAGGTATGAACTTCATTTTTTTAAAATTTTACAAGGTCTCATGGTTAGCTAACTCAGAAAGCTCCGTGCTAATGTTGGTTAATATCACAGATGGGTCACAGCTTCTAGTCAAAGGTAGGTTAGGTAATGTCATACTGTAGAAAGAGTTGTGTTTTGGTGCCACTGACTGACATTACACTGCTTCAGAGACGTCACTCTCATTCTTTCATGGACTTGATGGCATGGCAACCACAAAGAGCCACAGCTTCAGGTGAACCAAAATATAAAACAAGATTTATGAATGTCCAACATGTCAGAGAGTTTGATCAGACAAAGATCACAAGGAACGACAAACAAACACAAGGACGGAAGGAGAGACGGACTGACGGACGGTGAGACGGAAGGACGGAAGGAAGGAGGGAGAGATGGAGGGGGAATCAAATCACAGAGTAAGGAGGAAGAAACTGGTGTTTAAACGAGAAAAAAGGAGGGGAAAGAAAAGAGAGGTAGATGGAAAGGGGAAATGGCAAATAGGAACCATGCGTGGTTCACCTTCAATCTGTCTAAAGGCCACGGCCTGCCCTGTGGGGCGAGAGCCCGAGTGCGTCCACTCTGGGCTGAACAATGGGTGCTCATAGTACTCCTCGTCGGAGTGGTAGGGCTCGTCCTCGGGCACGGAAACTGAGATGGAGGGGGCGAGGAACTTGCACCTCTCCCGGGAATTTTGGAAGCGGCGGAGAGGACCCGCCTCCTCCTCATCCCCTACATCTACAAACAAGACAGACACAAGGAGAAGAACTGCAGGGAAATCTGGACACAGACCAAAAAAGAGTGAGGAGGAGAAAACCACAAAAATATGTCCACTTCAAAGGCACTTAAAGATAATATTAGAATTTTGAGAGATGTGTCTGAAACCTGGCAACTTCCTTTGTTAATATACAGGAACAGACATTTAAAAATGTTTTTATTAAATGTGGCTTGCCTGAGGAAATAGTTTATACCATCTACATATTTTTAAAAATAAACAAGATAGCAGTTCATAATAAATTGTATTTTTTAGTTTATAAAAAAATATTTTATTGGAATAAATTGATTTTATTTATAAAGTCAAACAAATAACCTTTTAAAGTGGACATATTTGCAGTGAACAAAAATTATAAAGGGGCGGAAATAATAATAATAAAAAATATATAGAATTGTCACAAAAAAAAAGAAAGAAAAAAAAGTCACCAATTAGGGAAATGCAAGTAGAGGAGAAGGCTTGAGTAAGAGGAGGAGAAACAGAAGACACAGAACGATGACAAGGACGATGACAAGCAAATCAAAGGTGACCAAGCTCTGGGGCCAATCAGAATTAAGGACTGGCAAAAGCAATAAATACTTCAGTTTGATAAAGATATATATTTGTATAACAGAGATAATTTTACATATCAGGTAAACCCCCAATAAAATACATATAATTTAATTTATAATTTAAAAGTATTGATAAAAACAACTGTTATCCTGTAAAACTTAGTTGTAGGAATTTAACATCAAACAATAAATAATTTTTTTACCAAATTATCTGATTTACAAATAATAATAATAATAAAAACTGACCCCCTGGTACAAAGACCACATTATTTGATTTACAAATAATAATAATAAGAAAAACTGACCCCCTGGTACAAAGACCATTCAGGTTTAACACACAAGCAAAAAGGATGGGAAAGGAGACAAAAGTAACATTCTGGACTGGTTTCCTTAGTTAGCATAGCATACACTACGTACTACTGAAATCCATAGACAACAACTTCTTTTAGACTCATTAAACCCTACCCTATATTGCAACAAACATCAGCACAAGTTTCCATATATATATATATATAAATGTATATAGGGCACCAACATTAAATCTCATCTCCTGTGCACGGCTGAGTATCTTGGTCTTTTCCCCTGTTATCTAACATGAAGTACTTCCTATTTTCTATAATCCGTGTTTACAGCACAGGCCCACCTACAGACTGCCCTCAGTACATCCCTGCAACTGCTGACTAAACATTTTCAAATCAAAGGCCATTTTCACAACAAGTATGCTCTCACTGTCTGCAATATCATAAATTGTAAAGAGAGAAAAAAAACCTGCATAGAAAAAGATGTGAAACAATCCTGTTGGATTATATTCCCATTAGTTGCCCTTTATCTACGATTGAGCAAGGCATGATGGGAAGGCCAATTCTAAAGTTCATCATGGCTCAATTTATCCTTTTTAAACTTTGTAAAAGTTTAAAGACTGATGATTGAAAAAGACAGACAGAGGACAAAGGACAAGACAACAACCATCACCGTGACTAGCAAAGCGTGACAACAACAACAACAACAACATAGATAATGCAACTGAAAAAAAAGAAAACAGGCAGTTGTACGGCTACATGGAGCGGCTGTCGTATTAGTAAACAGGATGAAGAGTGAGCCGTGGACGTTAGAAATGGAAAGAAATGGCAACTGTGTCTGAGCATGTGTGTTTCTTCAGCTACAGCATATAAAGGTGACAGTGAAGATACAAATGTATCTGTCCCAGCTGCGCAATGAGGAGGAGGGAGAAGGACTTCAGGAGAAACTGAAGTCTGGAAAATGGAAACGGTGAATCTGCTTTGTACTGTATTCAGTTTCCTGTTGGGATATCAACGAGTGACGCGTCCCTGAGATTGTGGAGCGAGTCCTGAGAGGGATTAAAGACGCACCCAGAGAGCCGGCTCACTTCAGTGGGCAGTATGCCGGCATTAGTAAATCTCCAGGAGCTACTGTCAAGAACGGGAGAAACGGAAACTCCTCCATCAGAGAAAGATCCCTGTAGACATGATTTCCCTACCTTGTTCCAGAGGACCCAAGGAGCAGCAGGTGAGGGGGGAGGAGAGGGAGGCAGGTTGGTGGTGTCTTCAACTATATAAAGAGGCAAAAGGGAAGGAAGGTGGAGAAATGATTTGGTCAGAAATGACAAACTGCACAGAACGTTTGTAGTCGAGGAAAAGAAGAATCCCATTCATTGTCAATGTACAGACACATAAATCTGATGCTAGATAGTCCTAGAAAATTGGATTAGGAATCGTCTTCTTCCTGCTTGGCCACAGAAAATACATGCTACTTTTTTGCCCAAAAAGTTATGAGATTTCAATGAGGATCTTCTGGTAGCAGTGGATGGATGGATGGAAAGAACTCTACTAATCCCTCGAGAGTTCCCTTTGGGAAATGTAGGTAACTAATCTAATCCACCTGTTCTTCCAAACGATGCCCACAGGTTATAAATAAGGTTTCATAATGGTTACATTTCCTTGGACTGAAACAGATACTGTCTAAACCACCGTGACACTCTCAGTGACTTGCACTACTGCTACTGCCTGTAACATATATTTAACACACTGTGGGCTTGACAAATTAACAACACCCTGCTGCTGCAACAGCAGTGTTCAACGAGACGCCCTGTAGTGTAATCTGTTGAACACACAGAGGTACATTGTGAATCCTCCGGAAAAAAAAAAGGACCTAAGGTTGCTCTGATTTCTGCATCTTCAGAAAAAAAAACAGCCTCTGCAAACAATGTCCAAGGTCATATGATAGAGGACTGCATCATCTGTGAACACTGGATGAAAAAGGAACAGAGTTTCTTTGGGGTTTTTTTTAGCCTCTTCAGAACCTCTTCTTGTAGCACTGACCTTTTCCATACATCTTCATGGGATTTGAACCTTTGTTTCTAAGTCTCCAGGTAGTCTTAAGAGGTCGGGTATGAATTTTGATGTATGTATATGTGTGTGTGTGTGTGTGTGTTACCCGATGGCAGCCTTTGACTCTCCTGTTCTCCTTTTAGCACAGCCACTGCCTCCGCTGTAACTTCTTGCACAATCCGGGCAGACACTTGCTCTGCAAACATAAATAATAAAACACTGTTGTTTTAGGAGTTCACACGTGAGACTAAACGTGCGTCAAAGAAATGTTTCTGTTACAGGCGCTCAGGGACAACATAATCGTTACAACTTACGCTTCTACTAAAACGAATTAAGTTTCACTATATTTTATGTAAATGAAATTTGTGATGATTTGAGAATATAAAATTCAAGACATTGTTCCACTGTGGGGTTTTTTTTTTTTTTTTCGTTCCACTGTGGGGGTTTTTTTTTTTTACATACTGTATAAAAATTTCCTCTAAAGACGATCAGAATTTATTGGAAGGATTTTATTCTGGTTTAAAATTACTGTCAGAGGAATTACTCACCAGGAATACAGACAATGTAAATCAACTGAGACAAAAACCTGTAATTATTTAAAGTTCATTTCGAAAGTTGCCTTTTACTTCTAGTATTTATTCAAACATTTATAGGCAACCATGAGGAGTCTGTAACAAGAAAAGAGTCTGAGTGCAATCCATTTGGTTTAATATCGACATCTTTATGTTGCATTTAAAAAAAAACCAAAACCAATGTAAATGTGAATGATGCAGGAGCCGTAACAGCTGTAATCAAACTTGCCTTCATTTGCATAGTAACAGTGATGCTGTGGGAATGGGTGGCAGTGTGAGTCTTTTACTGCTGCTGTTTCAGGACCTTTTTCTCTCCACAGTCACCCACGCAGCAGTACAAAACAGGCTGGCAGGCAAACACACACATGTAATCACATCAAATAAACACACACGCAGAGACAGACACTTCTTTCGGGAACACTTCACACATCCTACTCATCAACTCCAAGCAGCCATTTCCCATTTCCAGCACAACGAATTGTAGCTAACATCTTTAACTCCTCACTGACAACACACTTCCAAAATGGAAACACAGAGTCGGACGGTTTCACCGTGAATCAGGTGCGGTGTGGATTTAATGTCAAAGAGTTTGAACAGCCTCAGGGGAAATGTCCTGAAGATTTGTGTCAGGTTCTTAATGAGACGGCAACAACAAGAACAAGTAACAATGTGTGAACGCTGTGTACTCTCTGACACTGGATGCTGCTGGCTGACACATCCAATGGAGTTAGATTAACAATAAAATAAATAAATAAAAATATATATATAATATATAAATACATATATACACACATATATATATAAATATATACATATATAAATATATATATACATATATACATGTATACACACACACACACACATATATATATACATACATATATATGAATGTTTGTTTGGTGCCTCAATAGTTTGCTAAATTAAGATCCATTCAAGCCAACGTGGACAAATTGTGCTCATTATGCCATTTCTAACTTCTCAGGTCATCGTTACTCAGGTGGAATGTGCTGTGACAGAGGTGATAAGTAAGGGAACGGCACCTGTCTGAACTGCAACGTTCTCCTGAACAGAAACAATTGCATGTCAAACGCTTTAGACACATCAGAAGACACATCATCGAGGCCATGTCAAACGCAAGTGAGACACATCAGAAGACACATCATCGAGGGCACAGCCTCAAGACTTGACACAACGTGACAGAGACCTTCAACAACGCCATATGCACCGCGGTCAAAACAACACCGTCACAACCTGCATGCAAATGGACTATAAAAAGCCACGATGCCGCAGCATTTCAGCAGACGGAGATTTCTAAAAACACAGAACCTACATCTTCTGCCGACTGGCTTTGACAACAAAATAAACCACAATCTCGAAGCCACAATGAATCGGCTGAATGAGGCTTCACAGACACAGCGCACGCAGTTATAGCTTTCCTCGCAAAATTAAAGTGAGTTTTTACCTGATCACAAACACAGATGAGATGAGAATCTCCTCTTTCTCCCTCTCTCCCTGGGTACAGACTGAGAGTGAAAGCCCCAAACCACTAAAACGCCCAGTCTGCAAGACGCACACGCACACGCACACATACCCAGCAGGACTGGGAGGCCATGGAGAGAGCAGGAGTGTCGCTTGGTAAATACCAGCCACCAACCAGATCAGGAAAGTAAGCTGTTGCTATGGCAACAAACAGGCGGGCCACTGACTGGGGCCTTATGAAATTTGGTGGCCGGCAACATTCTGAGGCTGTTTCAAGATCTCGTCACACATTATCATATCATTAGTATTAACTACCGGTAAAATTCTTCACTAAGTTACTCAGTCAATATGCAGGTCCATATATTTGCAACACAGAGTGGTCCAGCGGTCATGTCGCTGTCATTTATTGACATTGTCCATTGGTAACAAGGGACACATCAACACTGTCTGTCATTTGTATAAAAATTATGCAAAAATAAAACCTAGTCAGGGTGTGCTAAAATTGTCGGAATAAACAGAAACTTCTCAGCAGACCTGCAGTAACGCCGCGGACCCCCTGTTGAACACCACACCTCTAAACAAATATGGACAGAATCCTTGTTTAGTCGCCTGTTTCTTCTGCTACCTGAGTTTGGAGATTTTGGAGTTTTGATGAAAAGAAAGAAAGAAAAAGTAAAACCTGGACCACTCAGAAAAAAAAGAGGAAAAAAAAACCCTCAACTTCATGTGTGCTTTCTGTTTCTATTAGCTGAGTGCTTCTTTGTTCCCTCCCCCTCTCTTTTCTGATCACTTGCGGGATGGCTGACTGCCTTCGTTGACCACATTTCAAAAAAAAAAAAAAAAAAAAGTTAAGGGCAATTTTGTGCTCCACCACTTCTTGTTGCATTTGTTTCACAGCGAGAGGTTTTAGCATCAACGCTCCTGTCATCCACGCTGCCCTGACAGACTGAACCCACGCTGAACTACTTTGGAAGTAATGCTACTCTGAGCTGACAGAATGCTTTTCAGACAAACACGGCTTTAGACACACATGTATGTAATGAACGTATTAGACACATTTTGGACTATTTTTCTTTTCCCTAATACCCACCAAATCCATAGAACAATCTGGATTGTCAAGTATCCAGTTGACAGTGGTCACTGCATGTTAAAGGGCAAGTATCCAGTTCACATGTTTTTTTACTTCAGGATTGTGGTTAATCTTTGTGTTTTTAGTGTTTAATTTGACAGTGGTCACTGCATGTTAAAGGGTGAACCACAGGCAAAAAGAAAAAAAAAATCCAGCAATTAATAGTAGGGGAGTTGTTTCCATGGATGCAGCATTAAGACATTATAATCACCGTCTGTGTGTGAATAAGCAGGTGTGAGAAGCTAAGGCTCAGGGAAAAAGATGTACAGTATGTTGCAGCCACAGCATCATCGTCAGCAGTGTATGGTTTTAGCGGAACAAAAAGAGACTGAAGGAAAATTTAGTGTCCAACAAATACACAAAAGTCATATATATAATCTATAGCACGTGTCAAACCCAAGGCCTGCGGGCCAAACGCGGCCCACCAAGTCATTTTGTGTGGCCTGTGGGAGCTTAAAAAATGTTTAATTGCCTTAAACTAAAGTCCATGTTGTAGAGTTTATTACAATGTACAGTCCTTGTAATATGAAAAAAATAATAATCAATTTCAGAAACATGTATTGTTAAATTATGGAGTAGTTACAGCTATACGGCCTTAAAGTTACCACCGGCCCTTTATTGTTGATGTGGCCCCCTGGTGGAATGAGCTTAAAATTAAACGGAATTTTAAGATATCTAAAACACACAGACACCAGACTTACTAATAGGTAATTAAGGATTGCAGAAAAACAAATGTCTCTGTAATTGAGTTTTTGGAGATTACAGTGTAAAACGTGAGAATTCAAAACCCATGTGGTGAATGTTAGACCTGACAGAATGAAAAGCTAAAACTAAAAGACTGTCACGTCGTCATACCTGCAGTTATAGCATGAGCTCCAGTAAACTCCCCATTGAAGCCATTTTCTCTGGCAGAGTAGGGGGCTGTGGTCACATGTGCTCCTCCGGCCTGGCAGCTTCTGTATCCTGAGGAGGAGTAGCCATTGGCTCCGTGAGTGCCAGCAGGCTCCTGCCCTCCTGAAGGGTCCCACTGTGGGGTACCATCTTCTGGCTGTCGACCATCCGCCATGCTGGGACTAGCTAGCAGCGAGGGAGGGTGGCCAGTGGATGAAGCTACGCGTTCTGACAGGAGGTGGAGAGAAAGTGACACATGATGAAAAGTCAACGGGTTTATCTTATTAACTGTAGTCTTTAGCATGATTTATCTAAGACACTACAGAGAGGAGAGGCTCCAGGATACACTGTATCAATCATCATTACGGCATTAATTTTTTTTTTTTTTTTAGTCCCCATCACTGCTGCAGATCAACGGAGCTTTAATGTCAACATTTCGAGCACACTGCTCCCATTCTGAGTTTTGGCGTAGGTGGTTGTTTGAAATACTGTCGTTGAATGTTGGCAGGTCGGTGACAGAATCTGGATGAAAAGCTATTGATGTGTAATGACTCACAGAGAAGCCAGTGACCCAGGTGGGAACCAAGACTAAGGACTGAAAGGGTGTTACTTTGAGATGTTGTTTTAGTTTTGTTTTGGGGAAAAACAAAATGAAAACGAAAAATCCATTTGAGTTTGTTTTTCAGTTGTTTTTTCAAAATGGTTTCTTTTTAGGGTTGAAAAATAAAATCCAAGTAAATCTTTACACGTTTTTAAAAAACGTGTAAAGATTTACTTTACACGTTTTTAAAATCAAAACCTTAAAAATGGGTGATATCTGTCCTAGTACTTTTTGTCCGAGAGCCACATTATTTATTTTATTCAGAATTTTGGTTCCAGGCAGATTAACAATGACTGTATCAGAACTTGAACTTCGTGACTGAATTCAACCGACGCAAAATTTAGAGAAAAAAAAAATTCTCACAGAAATTTAAAATGAAAACAGCGCAATGTAGCAGTGGGAGAGTGGAGGAGTGGAGGCTCACAGAGCAGACAGAAGTAATAGATCATGACAACATGTGGTGGCTGTGAGCCTCTGCAGCATAAATGAATCAAAATCTGGAGTCAGTGAAGCTTTGAATGACTCAGCCTCAGAAAGAACATGACTGAGAATAAAGCCTCTGCACAGACTCCGCACTACATTGAACAGAATCATAAAAAAAAAAAAAAACTCCTTTTCAGTCTCACCTCACCCAAAATCACGACAGTATGTTGTTGTTGTTTTTTTATTATTATGCCTTTGAAGTCTATGTCTTTCCTTGTTTTCTCGTTCACCCACCGATCACCCACCCGCTCAAGCCCACTTTCAATATTAAAAGTCATAAAACACAGAGACGAGTGTGCTGCACTTGTCTGTCTGCTGACGATGAAGGTCACTTTGAGCCCGGTGGCAGATATCCAGACACACACAGACCATCCTGTCTGTCGGCCAGACTCCGGCTGTCAGGGGTTTCGCATCAGGAGGAGGAGAAGTGGAGTTGGTCTGGAAGCCAAGTGAGCAACTAATGGCAACGCTTAATGCATTTGTGAGTCTTTATGGTTATGAGCAAGTGAGTGGAGCAATTTTTAAAATTTAACAGCACCACCTGCTGGTTTACAGCCTGAACCAAAAACAAAAAAGAACAGGCTTGGTATCTGTATTAAGAATGTATGTGTGGAACTAGTGCGTGTTTATCAGTATAAAACCGACTGCTCAGTGACGTGGATGGACCAATGAGCAGGACAAACGTCACCGCCACCTAGTGTTTGGAACCCAATGTCATAATAATGAGCAGTGACCGACAACGGAGACAGAAACAACGTCAGGGAGCAATAAGTAAAAAGACAAATGTCAACGTGAGTCAAGGGCAAAGAGACGATGGAAACACAGATGAGAAGGCAGCCAACATCTCAACAAACATTCTTATAAACAGCGTGTCACGTCTCACTCACTGCAGGAGTGAGATGTGACACACACTGAGACATCATTTAGACACCGAGCCTCTCAGAAGATGTCAGGTCTGCTGCTCTTGGCACAAAGCCTGTGGCACTTTGCCAGAGGGATGTTAGTGCGCTCACTCCCAAGCCTTCCCTAAGAATAAATAATGAAGGAGAACACGGCCGTGGCTGAACATTTACAAAAGGAAAATACAGGATTAGTATTAATATTTGAACACAACAGTACTGTTTTATTTTTGGTGACTAAAATACTGCAAGACAATATTTTATATTTTTCTTCTTTCTCTATTGTTCTATACTTTATCCTTCATCTTTCACACTTTTTCATTATATTATTTAAGGCTATTTCAGTGGTTCCCAAAGTGAGGCAGCAAGTCCCCTGAGGGGTACAGGCCAAGTGTAGATATTTAAAATGTAGTCTACACATTCATTCAATAAAAAAACAATAAAAATAGTATTCGTAGGTTATGTGCATTGTACTTTGCCACTCATCTATCAGACATTATAAAGGTGTTGCCACAGCACTCATGTCCTTCAGGTCACTATCAAAGACAAGGCTTTGATTAGAAAATGGACATGGAATCAACCACATCGTGTGAATAATTTTTTGTAAATGTGTTCATGTTTTACCCTCTTTGGTTAACATTATTATAAATGTAAAATTATTATTTTTAGGGTACCAGTATTTAAGTCACTAAGAATCAGCTTTAAGTTGGTATTTCTCTCTGCTCCAGTGAAGAGATGACTTTAGATATTTCTCTCTGCTCCAGTGAAGAGATGAAGTCAGACTATTGAACTGTCATTACATCAGACACTAAAACGCGACAATTAAACTGTCACCTCTTCATTTTCCTGGCTGTTAATCAACTTCTTTCTGTCATTTTGTCTGCTTTCCTAGCGCCCCCTCTCCATTACATCTTCTTCCCACCTTTTATTCCTTCTTCGATCTTTACCTCTCTACACCTCCTCCCATCACCGTTCCTCCTACTCACTCCTCCCCCTCCTCTCAATAGGCTTCATCTTTTCCCTGGCTCTGCTCTCACTTCCCTCATCTCCCTCCTACGATCTGAGCACTTTCACAAGCCACCGTCTCCCAGTGTGTGTGTGTGTGTGTGTGTGTGTGTGTGTGTTCGTGAGTCACACAGATGCTGCATTGCAGGGCTCTCCTTCACGGGCTGTGTAGTTGCAGGAAACAAGAGACCTGGAGAAGGAATCAAGGAAGCAGGAAGCAGGATGCAGGATCGAGTTCTTCCCGCTGTGTGTTGGGGGAGTTTGGGATGGGGGTTGGGGATGGGAGGGAGTCACCCTCCATGTCAAGTATTGATTGGATACGTAGTAAGTACCAAGCACAACTTACAGTGAGTTCCAACTGGCCCACCTTTATTAAACCATTTGTCATGCTTGGTTTGACTGAAGTGCATTGTTAACTATTACTTCACTTTAGTACGGACCTCAGGCAAAGAGATTAAGACTTGGTTTTACGTCCAAACAAAGTCCTGTATCGATTAAGCTCACTTTAATGGGATCAAAATGTTCCTTTGGACCAATAACGTAGTCATCATCAGTAGATGCAGTCCTTACAAAAGAATGGGAGACATAAAATGTATTCTAGGAAATGGAAACGAGCATGTTTTCCAGAGGCAACAAGTACTGCAGGTTAATGAAGCGCGTTGACTAAAACTGGTGTTTTATGCAACGGTTGAAACTGGAGAAATGGAAAAAACACATCTTGAATTTTTATGTTGGGGGGGATGAGTGGGGGGGGGGGCTGTTGCTTTTTTTGAAGGCCAACGAGTTTGAGTCATTCTCTTTGCATTTAATTTTCACCTTCAACACTCAGAAGATCAGAAAATGAAAGTGACCTCACGACAGCTTGAAGAAGCCGCTTCACCGTAAGTGTATCTTATTAGAGCAGATTTCAGAGCAGAGCTACAGTGAAGGGTGGCTTAAGATTCGGGGCATTAAAGTAAGAAATGCCTGACAGCAGCATAAAATTTTGGCTCTACGCAGCATCATTTCAACAATGGTGTTTAAGAGCTGAAAATAAGTTATTTAAGAACTCGGGTGTGTAAATAGAACACTTCTCTATCGCTCGCATTCATTTGAAATGATTAAGATTTGAGTGTTGTGATTAATAACAATTATTCAGGATTAATCGAATGCTTCAGACCAGTCTAATCGAGCCCAGGGCTCAGTCTACCGCTGTCAAACCTCACTGATACAATTAACAAATTACACTTGTCATATTAGCAGAAAAACTAGTTGCGGAGCTTTTACATTTAGATAAAAATACTTTTTTTTTAAAAAAAAAAACATCTAATATTTCAAACCGACCTCAGTACATGGAACGACGCCTTTGTGAGTACAGAAAACAAAGAGAAGCCATTAAATCATGACTGCCTTTCAGCAGGCCTTGGTGATGATTGTCTCACTAAAGCAGCTCTTCTCTTCCCACTCACTACCCACTTCCCACTCACAGCTCCTGGCAGCCTGCACTTACATGAACATCCACCCACACAAGTATTTCATATGTGGAGGTAAAGTCTCTCTGTGAATTTGTTGTTTTCTTCCGACAGGTATTCTAGCAGCGTCTCATATCTTTCAGATAAATTAATGCGGTTCTACAATGGGCTTGGTTGGTTCTGACGCCTCTGATGATGATGTATCATTCAGTCAAACCTGGTTCAGCCACCCACGGTCACCTGGTGCACAATGATGCTTCACTGTAGCACTCTTATTTTTGATATTCTCAGGCTGAAATCAAAAGGTTTTTGCAGCAGGTTTCTGTGCCTCAATCTAATTAAAAATAACTAGCTTTGAAAACAGAGTTAATGCAGGACGTTCTTTGCCAAGACTCTGATGTCGTTTGAATTACAACAGCTAACAAGATAGTTCACGTTTACTGTACCTGCTCAGCTGTTCCTGGATTTTTATTCTGGATGACAAGAAAAGTGGTCCTCTCTCCAAATCTGGCAGAATCGTTGCCTTGAATTGGCCTTGAAGTTGCACCTGTCAAGAAAAAAAACAAAAGATTGTAAGCTCAGGTTTTGTATTCTTCAAAACTGAATTACCATCAGTAATTGTTTTAATATTAACAGAAACTATGGAGAACGGAAAAAACGGTCAACAATTGTTTTTTAAAAGCAGAGTTTTCTTGGTACTGCTGACAAGGGCTGCTGCTTTTTTTTTTTTTTTTTTTAAGTCTGAAGGATCAAAGCTGAGTGAGTCAGCAGCACGTCAGCCGTTCCCTCACCACTTTACAGAGACTGGCTTATGTTCTTATGTCCCAGTGAATGTGAAGGAAGTGAAAAGTTCTAAAAGTGAAAATAAAATAATAATAAATAATAAAATGCTTCGATTACACTGCAGGTGTAGGACAACTGCACTGCCTCCTAACTACAGCTACATTTAAGAGCTAATGGTCAAGAACAAAGTCACACTGTGAGGTTCGTATGACCATAAGGTTATGGTAAGATTTTCTTTCTTTTTTTTTTTTTTGACATAAGGCAGGCTGTAAATCACGGTCCAATTAAGTCAAGTACCAATGCATCAGCAAACAACTACAGTACACAGCCTATAGACAGACAATAATAATCATTGGCGTTTGGCCAAGTCCTGACTGAAATATTTTAATTTCCTCTTGGCTTCAAACAACCATACATTTGTCTCTTGGCCGTTTCCCAGAG